GAGCGACAGAGCTAGACTCCGTCTCAAAAAAAAAAAAGAAAATTAGAGTAATCACAGCCCCTAGAACATAGGGTTGTGCATGTAAAGCAAGTAGCACCTAACAATAAATCATAGATATGAAATGTTTACTAAATGCCAGGCACTCTTATAAGTACTTGTGTTACCTTGTTTACTTTTCATAATAATCTATGAATTAAGCACTGTTATTCCCATTTTACAGATGAGGAAAGGGAATCAGAGAAGTGGAGTCTTGCAGTCTGGCTCTGGCTTTTCCACTCATACCATTGCCTCTGGTTTCCTGATTGACAGGAAGCATCCCATCACTGGTGGCTGATAAGAATTACAGATACTCAGTTTTACTGAGTTACATGCTAATGGTCTTACCAGGAGCAGTGTACTCAGGCTGGGCCCTCTGTGCGGCTCCTCCCTATGGTGTATGTTCAGGGACAGCTTTGGCTGCTGCTTTTTCCTTTCTAACATCAAATAAAAAAACTATGGGCAAGAAAGCTAATTGTTTCTCTTTTTATTGATCTGTTATTCCTTAAGATTAAGAGAAAGCAAATTTAGCATATATGAGTAGGTTAGAGGCATAAAGTATTGGTGATTTCCCTCTAACAGTTCTGAAGATAGATGCAAGTACAGCAGATACATAACTGTAGATTTTGGAAACAGCTTTATGTTCGAATGCATTGTTCTTTATTGCCTACAGTGCTGCATTTGAGGTCAGCGTTATCTCAGCTTTCGTGTTTTCTTCTCAGTAGAAGTTGCCCTCATCAGTTCACTCTCTTCTGAGGCTCTGCTTTTGGTACCTACAGACCTAATTTCAAGCTTCATCAAAAGTACATAAGAAGGTTTTGTTGTGAATTTAACAAAATAAAAGACCAGTTATGTACATAATTTAATTCTAACCACCAAAAGCTAAAATCTGGGAACTTAAGGGTAAATAATATTTAATAACAATAAGCCCACCTCTTCAGGTACTGATTCTCTATGTCAGTCATTTTATAATTGAGTGATTTAGTGATAATAGTGGTCCCACTTTTGCCTAGTTTAAACCTTTGGTATCTTAAAATTTTGTAAGTACAAATAGCAGCTGAGTACAGTGGTTCATGCCTATAATCTCAGTGCTTTGGGAGGCAGAGGCAGAAGGATCACTCGAGCCCAAGAGTTTGAGACTAGCCTGGGGAACATAGCGAGACCTCATCTCTACAAAAAATATAAGCCAGGTGTGGTGGCATGGGCCTGTGGTCTTAGCTACTCAGGAGGCTGAGGTGGAAGGATTGCTTGAGGCTAGGAGTTCAAGACCAGCCTGGACAACACAGCAAGACTCCATCTCTTTAAATTAGCCAGGCATGGTGGGATGGAACTATACCTAGCTACTTAGGAGGCTGGGGTGAGAGGATTACTTGAGCTCAGGAGTTTGAGGCTCAATTGTGAGCTACAATTGAGCAACTGCACTCCAGCCAGCCTGGGTGACAGAGTGAGACCATGTCTACAAAAAAAAAAAAAAAAAAAAAAATTAACACAAAATTATCAAGTGATATTTACCAGATTAACCAAGATACTAAGAATTAAAAAGTTTAATTTCTTGTTATTCCTTGAACTTGTAGTGCTTTGAGAATGAAGACAAATAGTATATTACAGTACACAGGAATACAGTCTTTGGGTTCAGGGGACCTGGGTTCAAATCTTAGCTCTGCCACTTAACTGAGTCTTTGGACAAGTTGCCTCGGTTTCCTTATGTGTACTGTGAGAATAATCACGTTCCCTTCATCTGGTTCTTACAGAGATAAATGTGTGAAAAACATTTAGCACAGTCCCTGGTAACCAGTAAGGGCTTAATAAATAGTGGTTTTCCTGTCATTCTACCAACTTTATCATTATCCTGCTTTTATTATACCATAATAATCTCCCATTTAATCTTTAGTCACTGAAAACATCTTCACTTTGATTCCAGCCGCTTTTTTCCTTTATGCTTCTCCCACCACTACCACTACCTTAGTGACATTTATTCTCACTGAAGTCATCAAACCCATCCTTTTAATGGCACTTGTAGTCTTTACCACATAATTACACTGTTCTTGCGCTCCCTTGTGTTCATCTCTTCACCAGCACAAATGTCCTTGAGCAGAAACCATCTCTCTAATATCTGGCTGAGTACTAGGTGCTCAGAAACGGCTTCATCCAGGGGTTTCCCATTCTCTGAGCCAGAGCAGTTTTATCTAGGGTCTGCAGCCAGCTTCTGCCATTCTAAACTTTTTTCAAGTGCAAGATGCATATGAAAAGAGTACCCATTTCTTGGCGTACATGTTAATACATATAAAGTACACAGAAAGTGCCTGGCCTAGTTAGTGCTGCTAATATTCTCTGCAATCTTTAATGAAACTCAAGACATTTAGGTGGAGATAACATGTTTTGGATGAATGTCTTCTTAAAACACACAGGGCCTTTCCAGATAAAAATTGAGCAGATTAGGCCTCTGATGCTGTCCTAATTGCTTGGCCTTCTGCTAGTTACATTGATTTTATAATCATCTGGCTCATGTTGAGAGAATGTAATAGAAAAATTATGACAGGAGAATGATTAGAATAATTAGTCATAGCCTTATATTCATCTCAATATAAAGAACAGAGATTTATGACTCCTCAGCGATTTATCTTGATTGCAGGGCAAATGCTGTATTATCTGGGTAGCTGACAGTGGTCAGTACGGCATGCATCTGTATGTATATCCGCCTGTCTGGTACTTTTGTGACATTACTGGTGGTGCCTGGAAACCCAGAGGGTGTGGTTAGGCATCCTTGGATAAAGATGCAAATTGGAGAGACTAGTGAGTCATATATTTCCATGATTATCATACTGAGCTCTGCTGGATTTTTGCTGCTTCTAGCCACAGTGGCAGCAGGCATACTGATTTCTGGCCATGTGTGTGTGACATTAGCTTGGATATTACAGTTGAGCACTTTGCAGGAAAAAACAATAAGCAGTTAACCTGAAAGCATTTCTTTTAATGATGTGAGGTGAGCTATGCCTTTAAAATGCTGTGGTTTTTACCTTACAGAGTAAAACAGTTATAAAGCTGACATATTTTTTCTTATTTTGAACTAGAGTCCGTGTTCTTAATCACAGCACTGTAAGTTCTCGGGAATCTAAAATTCTAAACTATCATTATCGTATAAATGTTGCCTTCGACCTATTACTCTACTAAATATGTCACTCTGCCCTTGAAAACAGTGTTGTATCTGTCATTTCTAAGTAAATGAAAGTCCTATATACTAGAGTGATTCTGTGGTTAGGTTGTGTCCCATCTCACCCATTTTGCCTCTTGTTTGAAAATGAGTTTATTCTTGGGCTAATCATTTAGAGACTCTCCAGCTTTGTACATAGTAACCCTTTTGTCAACTTGAGATCATTTTCATTGCCACTGATCATTATTGTAGAATTTGCTTACTTCTAAACATTTTAAATGAAGTGATCAGATAATTTTGGAAATTTTTCTTGAACTGTGCATTCTGCTAAATATTCTGGAGAAACATTTTGGCTCCGCTTACTCTGTTAATGCTGGTTACATCATGAGAGCTATAGATTTGTTGGGCATGCAAAATGATTGCATATTCATGAACATCTTCAATTCTGAAATATTTGTAAATAACTTGGCAATTTTTTTCATAAGGTTGCCTATTAACACGATTCGGACTTTAATTGTTCACACAGAAAGAATTTGTACTTACAGAGCACCACCTATTTGATAAGTAACATTTCTATGCTAAGCAACTTGGATTATGAACATATAAGTCACCTTCCTAAAACAAAGTATAAGAGATGCTATTTTCCACTTAAGAATGATTCAAGTTTGAAAATGTCAATAGATGCAAAAAGCCACCCTAGAGCTTTGCTCTCTCGAAAGAAAGAAGAGAAGGAATGACATAGTCAATGTTAACTGTCACCAGATGAAGAGAAATCAGATTGTCAGGCCTGGATCTATAAAATTCTTGCCAAAGTAGGACCTCATTTACACATACAGATCTTCATACCCTTTGCTAAGAAAAGCATCTGTGGCAGTTTAGATGTTTGTGCGTTTGCCAAAGATCTTTCACTCTGAATAAAGTAAATGTCATGTCTGTTGTTTATCTCAAATTCAGCAGAGTATTTTTAAAAGGAAATATTTGTGGGGGAGGGTCGAGGGAGAAGGGAAGAAGGAGGTTGAGGAGCTCCAGTTAGCTGGGTGTGGCTATTTTATAGCAGTACTCAAGTATCATGATAAATAAGCTTAAAACATACTTTGGGTTTATGAACTGAAAGTCTCCTTTTGAAGTGACAACACAAAATAAATGGGAATGTGGAGTCTTCCTGAATCTATACCTAGTCTGTCAACACCAAAAAAATCCAGTTAATTCAGTCAAACTGATTATTTGGCATCATGTAGACACAGCTGTCTTGAGCTAAAATTTTGAACACTTAAAGATAGATGGCATTGTACCCAGAGCCAGCTGGTACAATGGCATCTATCTATAATTGTGTATAAATGATTGCTTAAAAGTTAAAAGATTGGAAATAGAACTTAATCGCTCAAAGTTCAAGCTGGACCCCATTGAACAGCAATAAAAAACAAACAAACAAACAACAAACAAAGAAAACCCCTGGTGTGATAAAATTTCTTGGCAAATGAGTACCCTTGATAAATTCACACTTCGGGTTAAGAGTATGCTGTGGTAATTTAACTATGTAAATTGCCTTGAATATAAAAAGTAAAGGGAATTCTCTATGTACCTTTTTTTTAAAAACCGTATTTAACCTGGCTTGTCGGCATTTGAAGTCATAATGAGATCCTAATGTAAAATAAATCCTGAGACTTTTCTTCAGGACATCTATTTTGTGTGATACAATTATTTTGCGCTTTGCAGAAATCAACTATTTGTCTTAAGGATGCTTTGCTTTATCAGTGTAATTTGTTTTATGGAAGTATTCTATGTAATTTTGAATATTATTTTATTCCCCCAGATGACATGGAAGCCATTCCTGTCAAACAGTTTGTCAAACACATCGGTGAGCTCTATTCTAATAACCAGCATGGGTTCTCCGAGGATTTTGAGGTATGTTTCATAGCTGGAAGTTAACTTCCAGAAACTTAACTCTTACTTTACGCAGATTTTTGTAAGCTTGAACTGAATTCATTCCAAGCATAACAAAACAATAACTGTGGAAAGTGGAGTTTTTTCTTTTCATCTATAATTTTAATAGGCATTCTTTTCCAAATAAAATTTAGGTGAAAGGGGAATTGATTGTACCTGTCCTGAACATGCACTTCTACAAAAGAACTAACTTAGTGATAGAAAAGCAAACTGGTAGGGATTGCTTTCCAGGTTCTTGCTTCATCTAATTCTAACTGGGAACAGCAATCATAATACAAGGCTCCCTAATTCCGCGTCTTTTCTGCAATGCACATGGTGTAGTGAAGATAGCAGGTTTGGTGTCTGAGAAACTGGATGCTGGATTCATCAGTAGTGAGCTTCATAATCCTCGGGCCAATCACCTCATCTCGGGTTCCCAGTTTTCCCATTTTTAAAAAATGGCACCAATGTCACCTACATTGTAAAGTCGTTGGAGAAAATAAATGATTAACATCTTTGAAAGTGCTGAGTTGATTGTTAAGAACCATGCAAAGGTTGACTGTTGTTGTTTTCATGATTATTAATCCTTGGAGAGAAGACTTGGGTTAACACAGCCTTCTGATTTTAAGAACTGGTGTGTAGGAAACAAGGTAGAGAGAGGCATGCACCACCCTGCCAACTCTGGGTTCCGTGCCAGTTCAGCAGTGACAGGGTGTCAATGAGGAGCTATTAAACAGACTGCCCTTTTCTTCACTGAGGCGCTTAACTAAGGCACATCTCTGGCAGCAAGAGTTGTGTCGAGGAGGCCAAGTTTTCATGGCAGCTCAGCTGTCTTCTAGCTTTGTGGGTAAGTCGGTTCCTTTCTCTGTCTCATTTCTACTTTAAAATGGAAATAATGATGATGATGCTAACCTACCCATCTCTTTCAACAAAATTGGTTGCAGGGCAAAATGAAGTAATGGAAGGTAAGCACTTTAAGATCATCTAGGAATCATACAGCTGGAAGGTGCAGTTACCTTGAATGAACAATGAGAAATAAAAACAGGATGAAAAGCCACTGTCTATGCAAATTTGGAATCCCAAAAGGCTATCATAAAGGCAATTATATTGATGACTTGTTTTAAATTAAGTCTTTCTCTTAGTTTTTAGTTTTTGTTGTTTTGAGCAGAATGAAAACAAAGGTGGTAGAAAGAACCTCTGCTTTATTCTGTGAAGTCATATGTTTTATGGAACCAACAAAAGCATGTTAAGTATTGAATGCCATTAGATGCTTACTAAAAAAGGTGCCTATTCAACTACAAAGAACATGGTTTAAGTCAAACATTTTGTATTCATGAGGACAGCAAATGTGTGTGGTGTTAAAGTGATTTAGTTCAATTGACTGTTGGCTGGATGACTGAGCAAGAATATTGAGGCATTTAACAATGTTGATGGTATTCAGGACAAACATTTATCCTCTAGAGAGCCGAATTTGATCAGGATGATCAAATGCAACTCCAGTTTCTCAATTATTTATGATTTGAGACCCCAGTGCTATTCATCACAGCTGGTTTTGACACCATTTAATTATTCAAAATAATCAGCTACACCTCTGTAAACTTGATCTGACTTAAAATGGGCTTTGCTGCATCAAAATCAAGCTTCCTAACAAATCCTGGGCATCTGTACCCTATTTCTGTCCTAAAAAAAATATACTGCAGCTAAAAGCTTTAATCACCTACATTGAACTTTATAGCTTAAATAGTATTAGCTGATACTTATGGGAGTGGAATGGGGAGGGCAGGCAGGAAGGTGAAATGACTGTTGTCATTTCACAATCTGTTCAGGTTTGAAAGGTTTAAAATCAGCTGTTCAGAATAGGAAGAAAATGCTTTCTTCTAAAAAGAACAGCAATGCAGCAACGTAAAGGGGAGAATAAGAAAATAGAAAAAGCTCACCAATATTACTGTAACCTTATAATTAGGTGAAAATTTGAAGTATTTTAAAAGAGTAGTATTCCTTTTGGGTAACTGCTAAAAGGGAAAACTGGTAATAGGCTACATAAGAAGCTATTATGACTATTTTATAATCAGATAGTAACAGGCTTTATAAGAAAGGATAGAAAAAGATTTTGTGTAATTAAAAACAAAATTTTATTATGGTAAGAGAGTTAAGGTAATCCCAGTCTCAGATTTCCAGACCCATTTACCTGGAATAATGATAGCTAGCATTTAGTAGTTAGCACTGTGCATGGATCATTCTATTTCCTGACGTAGGTGCTATCTTATTGTCCCCATTTTACTGATGACAAAACTACCCATGAGAAAACTGAGGCTCTGGGTGGCTACATTTTGAAATGGCAGCAGCAGGGTTTAAGACCAGGGTATCTGACTTGAACTCACACGGTTCACCTTGACACCATCCAGACTCTCATTAAAGTAGTGTCCTGGGCCACAGTGGCTCACATCTGTAATCCCAATACTTTGGGAGACCAAGGCGGGAGGATCACTTGAGACCAGGAGTTCCCAACCAGCCTGGACAACACAGCAAGACTCCGTCTCTACAAAAAAAGTTTTTTTTTTTAATTAGCCAGGTGTGGTGATGCACAACTGTCATCCTAGCTCTTCAGAGGCTGAGGCAGGAGGATCATTTGAGCCCAGGATATTGAGGCTGCAGTGAGCTATGACTGCACCACTGCACTCCAGCCTGAGCGACAAAGCAAGACCCTGTCTCAGGAAAAAAAAACACCAAAAAGCCAGAGTAATGTCCTGTAATGAGCCAAGGTCAGAAGGAGAAATAAGCAAGCTTGCAAGTGACTAGCACTGATAGTGCCACAGTGCCTTAACAATACAAAAAGGTGGGGAGAGCAGCCAAATTACGAACCACCCCCCAACTAGGAGTATTAGCTGCCCATTACATGATCTTTATGGTCTCAAGCCTTCTAAGATAGCTGAGAGTGTGACTTATAAAAATCGTATCCAACATGCAGGCCTAAAATTAGTCTTAAAATGATGAAAAATACAATTGAAAAGTTAACAACTGGACATTAAGAGGAGCTAAAACAACCCATCTAACAGTTACTGATGATCTGCCATTCTCTGGACATAATATAAGATACAAATATGAATTAGAGTCCTTGCCCTCAAAGAGTTCAATCTGGTATTGGGGGAGGCCAGAGTGTACACAACCAAAACAGAAACAGGACAAAGCAAAATAAGTGCTATTGTACAGGCATAAAGTTCTGAAGAAGTGCAAAGGAGAAAGGCACCTATGTATTTTCATTGGAGATTTCAGCAAAAATTCTCTCCCATCATGTTTAAACATCTCGGAAGTAAAAAGTTGGTGAATAACTATCATAGTTTCAGAACTTTACTGCTTGGCGAATGAGAAAAACAATCCACTGGTAATTTTGACTCTGTCTAGAAGTGTTGCTGTAATGTAAGCCAGCTTTTTGTTCTTGTCAGATAAATTCTAGAGACCGTGAAAAGTGGCATCATACAGTATTTGCAGTCACTAGAAACAACGTCAGTCCTTTTCTTGTGATAGCGTTGGATGACACCATTCCCTTGGCTACCTGAGCTAACTTTAACCTCACTGTCCTTCCCAGGGAGTTGTTTCCCAGAGTAGTATTAAAAGATTGACAGACTCTTCCTCAGCCCCCACAAACATAATGCAGAAGGCTTCCAAAAGACCAGTGCTAGCATACTGTTTCAAAAGGAAGGCACTCCAAAGCTCCATGAGTCAGAAGAATTAACAGGCAGGGACTGGGAGAATCAGAAGTCTAAAGGAGTGCAGGATGAGGCCAAAGGTCCACAGCCCCTTGACAAGATCCTTTGGGGGACTGTCTCTATTACAGTTAACCAGTTGTGCTAAATTTAGGCTAGTTCATCTTAAATCAAAAGAACAAAGCTTTGTCCACCTGAGCCCATGCTCTGAGGGACCAGTGGCCACAATCACTTTAGGGAATGAAGGGAGATGCCCAGGGCTGCTGATGACATATAATAGGGAAGTCTCTGGTCAGAGATGTAATGCTGCACCGACTGCTGCCTGCAAGAGGTCAGAAAATGAGCCTGTAGGCAGGGCTGTCCATTCTTTTGGCTTCCCTGGGCCACATTGTAAGAAGAAATGTCTTGGGCCACACATAAAATACACTAATGACAGCTGATGAGCTAAAAAAATTGCAACAAACAAAACTCAATGTTTTAAGAAAGTTTACAAATTTGTGTTGGGCTGCTTTCAAAGCCATCCTGGGCCGCATGTGGCCCGTGGGCCATGGGTTGGATAAGCTTGTTGTAGAGTTAGTTTCCTGAGCCTTTTCGACAAAAATGCCAGTTTGAGTCTTAAATATCTTAAGAAAAACATTTTTAAACGGTTATGAGATCTCACACTTGTTTAAGATTTTGGTGAAGAGGGAGATAAAAGGGAGATAGCCAGATTTCATGAAAAATAATTCTTATGTTAGAGACCAGCTACAGGATAATAATGCTGTGTTATACTCTCCAAAGATGGGTTAGTTTTCTGGGGGGCAAATGCAGTCATTTTAGATGAAGATACATGGATTTGGATAGAGGAAGAGAACAGGCATTCTTACCAAGGTAAATGGCAATAAAGCAAAGAGCAGGAAATCAAATGGTCTTTTCAAAGGGTATGGAGTTAATATTGTCTGGGATTGGGAAGGGAGGGGAAGATAAGATGGGACCTTGAAAGCCTGGCTAAGGGAATGTGGAATCTCTCCACACATTTCTGAGGAAGGGAATAATAAAGTCAGCACAGCGTTCGAAGAAAATCAGTCTGGCAGCAATTTAAACCCTGAGCAGAAGAGAGTAGGGGCTGAAAGTTGCAGTGTAACCAGCACCTGTCAAAGGCCAGTTCTGTGTCTGACACTGTACATGCACTGGGTCACTCCATGACCTAAACCCATGAGTCTTCTGTAGAACAGTCTCTTTACCACAATTGTAGGCTGCCTGAACTCAGGCACTAAGAATGTTACCCCTACTTGGTCTAATATTTAGTAACCAGATCCAAATAATTTATTCTCAGCTACCTTTTTGGAACTGAGAAATCTGAAAGATTTCTAGATGTTTTATTGCATTATTTTTTTGAATTGAGCCACAGTATAGTAGGACAGTAGGTCTTTAAGTGCTCTTTAAACAGCCTCTTGCATCAATGACTCTAGGTAGGAAGTGATTTAGCCTACGTCACCTCCCTAAAATTCTCGGTATATCAAATTTTAGGGTTTGTTCAGTCTTTGATTTTTTTGCTTTATTTTAAACCTGTTTTCTGTTGGCCTTCTCCTATGCTTATGTGCCTGTAAAGATTCAAACTCTTCTGTTTGAGAATTCTAGCTTTGTTATATAAAGAGTAAAATATAAACAAGCTTAAACTATCAGAGTTCTGAATAGGTAAATTTACAATGCCTACTCCATGGGCCAGTGTCTCTTTAAAGGGTTTTTAACACCTATTAAAATCATGTTAATGTTGAAATGGCAGTTCTGATGGAGAAAAGCCACTCCAGGATCAGATGATATTATCAGCATCTAAATGAGCCAGGCAGTACTGCAAGGAATTATAGATCACATTATTATCTACATGACAAAATTAGAAGACCTCAGGCAAACCCATGGGTTCTAATAAAATCAGATTTGACAATATTTATTACAATTTTTTGTTTCTGTCATTCATATAATTGGAAAAGTGAAATAGAGGCAACAGATCAGATAAAGGGTTTTAGATAACAAAAAGTTTGATTGGCCATATTGAATGACAGCTTTAAACAATACTGACAGCTGCTCCCAAGCAGTCTTGGTCAATTGCATTATATTAGAAAAGAGGCTCCAACTTCAGTCCATAGCTAGGGTGGTCAGATCTATACAACAGGAAAAAAACATCAATAAACAAAGTAAATCTCAGACTAAGGTACTAAAAGCCACAATCTCTCAGCATAAGATAGCTGAACAACTCAACCCTGAAGAAGTACATGCCAAAGGTGTGACCTTCAAAACCTGAAAACAAAAGAATAACTTGTTTCAGCCGGGTGCGGTGGCTCAAGCCTGTAATCCCAGCACTTTGGGAGGCCAAGACGGGCGGATCACAAGGTCAGGAGATCGAGACCATCCTGGCTAACACGGTGAAACCCCGTCTCTACTAAAAAATACCAAAAAAAACTAGCCGGGTGAGGTGGCGGGCGCCTGAAGTCCCAGCTATTCGGGAGGCTGAGGCAGGAGAATAACATAAACCCGGGAGGCGGAGCTTGCAGTGAGCTGAGATCCGGCCACTGCACTCCAGCCCGGGCGACAGAGCGAGACTCCGTCTCAAAAAAAAGAAAAAAGAAAAAAAAAAACTTGTTTCAAATCCATTTTCAAAAGTTATCTGCCTTGAAACTCTTCAAAAGAACATGCCTCAGGTCTTATAAGGCAGTTTCAAAAGGCAGGTCCCAATATTCTAAGTTTGGCTGGCATTGCTCATTTCTTATGTAGACTGATTTGTGATCACACTTTATTATCTCATTTTAGGGAAGAGCCAAAGGATGGCCTTAAAGCTCCTTAAACCAATGTTTTCCAAACCATAGGTTATAAAGTATGTTAGAACAGAAAATATTGGAGTTTAGTAAGAGTAGGGAATGGGTAAAAACTGTCATGAAACCCACTTTTCCCGAAAGGTGGATTGAATTAATGCCTGTGGGGCTTTTTTTTTTTTTTTTTTTTTTTGTAAATGGACAGCTGGGAAGGACTATAATTAAGGAAACTTCAATTTACAGTGTCCAACAATTGGAAAGTCATTGAATACTGTTTCTTTCAACAGATAGAAACTCTTTGCTTTTATACCTTAAATTCTTTGAGTACAGTAACTTCCTCCTTCTAGAGAAGAAGTGTACTTCTCCCTAGGCCGTACTTTGTGAAAATAAAAGACAACCCAGTTCATTGTTTTCATTATGTTTAATGTAAATACTATGGAAAACATCCATAATTGCTAGGCAACTCCTTTGTGAAAAAAAGTCTGCATGCTTCTAAACTCTGCTACATCTGTTCTGTGTAAAACATTTCTCCTGATAATGTTGTGTTACTTTGCTCAGGCTCCGTGTAGCAGCTGTGCACTGCTAATGACTTCCTTATTAGTTAGCTCCAGTACTTTCTTGGGTTTGAAGCATATAGTATAGAAAAATTTGGCTTTTCAGCAATGTTGTATTAGGCTAATAGATGATGTTTATATCCACGGCCAAGGTAGGATAACAGCATTATTTCTGCTACTGCTATTTTTCCAAAGAAGGATAACTTTTAAAATATTAGAGTTCACAAATAATTTGTCAAGACTGTATATATGAGATATAACCATTAGTTGGGGTATTATTAGGGTTATTTCACCACTGAGTCTTTAAAGTCAGTGCACCCTCACAATGATAAAATGAGGCTGTAAGGCCTATAAGCATATTGCAAATCATGGTAGAGATTATACTTCTTAGAAATTCCCTTTCTTTCTTTAAGACTCAGGTAAATTTTTTCAACTGTCTAAAGCCTTCCTCTGTTCTGTGCTCCCATCAGAGCTTTATCAGACCTCTTTTCTGTTCATCATGGTTGACTATTTTTTTTGAATATTTTTCTCACCCATAGACTGGGTGAGAAAAATATTCAAAAAGAGATATTGTTTAACATCCCAGGGACCACATCAAAATCGAGAATAAAGTAGATGATTGATGAAATAGTAAAGAATGAAATCTTTATACCTTCACATTCTTCATAAACTTGTTATAAATATATTAATAATTATATCCAAAGTTGGGATTGGGGAGGTAATGGTGGCTGTGGCTAGGGAGTAAGTAAATACTTCATGCCTTTAAATATATATGGTGTTCCTTTGTTTCTAACCTGTGTCTATAATCTTGCTGTTTTCTTCACTAGGAAGTCCAGCGCTGTACTGCTGATATGAACATCACTGCAGAACATTCCAATCATCCAGAAAACAAGCACAAAAACAGATACATCAACATTTTAGCATGTGAGTAATAAACTTTAAACTATCTTCAACTGCAAGGAAATTAAATTTTCATGCTGGGTATAAGCTGAAAGCCAAGCAATCAGAAGCAGGATGCCAAGAAAGAATGATACTTGCAAAGCTAACCTCTCATTAGCCCATCTTCAACAGTGTAGAAGTAGGGACATTTTCTTCCCCCTTAGCCTTTCATTAGGCTGTCAGAGCTCAGAGAGCTTAATAAGGTGACTGAAAGAAAATGTTTGGAGCTTCACTATTTTCACATGAAGTGATGTCATATCAGATGTTGGGAGCCAAAATTTGAATGTCACTTGGTTATATTGACATTGTCTGTAAGGGCCTAATTTTCCCCCCCCACTTAAAAGACCGGTGTGATAGTAAGGGGCCAAATATTTTAATATGAATGAAAATATTGGGAATTGAATCAAGCAAGCTGAATTTCAAAGCATTCTTTCAAAAACTACATAATTGGTTTGTACCTTAAATGATGAGCCTCCAGGCCTTTTGGTCCATGTGCTTACCCCTATCTATCACATTTCCATGGTCAGGAATATTCTGTAGGTTAGGGACTCAAACAAATGGACATTCTTCATACAGAGCCTCAAGGAATACCCTAGGAGCACAAGCTACTTCTATGGCTAGAAGACCACACGTGGGGCTTGGCTCACTGGCATATAATATATGCTTTGATACTAAGGGTAGGGGCATAGATATTTATAGTTAACATATACTATGGTAAGGACTACATTGCATAGAATTGTATATAATAGTGCATTTAAATTGGACCACTTAAAACTTGAACACTACTGTATAATGTTTTCTTAAAGTTTTAGTGAAATATAATTCACATACCATATGAAATTTACCCATTTAAGGCCGAGCACAGTGGCTCGCGCCTGTTTAATCCCAGCACTTTCGGAGGCCGAGGCAGGTGGACTACTTGAGGCCAGGAGTGCAAGACCAGCCTGGCCAACATGGCAAAACCCTGTCTACAAAAAATACTAAAGTTGGCCGGGCACGGTGGCTCACGCCTGTAATCCCAGCACTTTGGGAGGCCGAGGCGGGCGGATCACGAGGTCAAGAGATCGAGACCATCCTGGCTAACACGGTGAAACCCTGTCTCTACTAAAAATACAAAAAATTAGCCAGGTGTGATGGTGGGCGCCTGTAGTCCCAGCTACTCGGGAGGCTGAGGCAGGAGAATGACGTGAACCCAGGAGGCGGAGCTTGCAGTGAGCCGAGATCATGCCACTGCACTCCAGCCTGGGCGACAGAGAGAGACTCTGGAAAAAAAAAAATACTAAAGTTAATGCGGTGTGGTGGCATGCGCCTGTAGTCCCAGCTACTGGAGAGGCACAAGAACACAAGAATCACTTGAACCCAGGAGGTAGAGGTTGCTGTGAGCCAAGATTGTGCCACTGCACTCCAGCCTGGGGAACAGAGCAAGACCTTGTCTCAAAAAAAAGAAAAAAAATTTACCTAAAGAATACAACTCAGTGAGGTTTTAGTATATTCATTCACAGAGTTGTATGATCATCACCACAATCTAATTTTAGAACATTTTTTGCACCTCAGCAAGAAACCTGTTAGCAGGCACTCCCAATTCTTCCTTCTCTCCAGCACTTAAAAACCCTATATCTACTTTCTGTCTCTGTGGTTTTGCATATTCTGGACATTTCATATAAATAGATTCATACTATATGTGACCTTTTGTGTCTGGCTTCTTTAATTTAGCATAATGATTTCAACATTCATCCATGTCGTACCATATATCAGTACTTCATTCCCTTTTATGGCTGAATAATACTCTAACGTGTGGATATACAGGATTTTGTCTGTTCATCATTTGATGGACATTTGTTTATTTTCTGCTTCTCAGCTAGTATGAATGATACTGCTATGAACATTCATGTACAAGTCTTTATGTAGACAGATATTTTCAGTTCTTTTTTGTGTATACCTAGGAGTACAATTGCTAGATTATATGAAAATTCTATGTTTAAAATTTTGAGGAGCTATCAAACTCTTTTCCAAAGTGGCTATTCATTTTACATTCCCACCAACAATATATAAAGGGTCCAATGTTTCCACATCCTCACCAACTTTTACTGTTTAAAAAAAAAAAGAATAACAGCCTTCCTAATGGGTATGAAGTGGTATCCTATTATAGTTTTGATTTGCATCTCCCCAGTTATTAGTGATGTTGAGCATCTTTTCATGCTTATTGGTCATTTGTATAACTTGTTTGGAGAAATATCTAATCAGATCCTGTACCATTTTTTAACTGGCTTACTTTTGTCTTTCGTTGAGTTGTAGGACTTCTTTACATATTCTGGATACAGATCATTTATTGAATATACAGTTTGCAACTATTTTCTCATTCTGTGCATTGTCTTTTCACTTTCTTAATGTGAGTTACCTAAATTTGTTCCTCTTTTTCAAGATTGTTTTGGCTATTCTTTCCACAGTTGTTTCTGAATTGTACTATTGTGCTGCTTTTGTTAAATTTATTCCTAAGTATTTTATTCCATTTGATGCTAATGTAAATGAAATTGTTTACTTAGTTTTATTTTTGGATTGCTCATTGCTAGTGTATATAAATACAATTGTAGGTTGTATCCTACAACCTTGCTGAATCCATCGTTTCTAGTAGTTATTTTTGGTTGATTCCTTGAATTTCTATATACACGATGTCCTCTATAAACAAAGATAGTTTTACTTCTAAATGAAATGTTACAAAAACTCCAGCTTACTTTTGAATAGGATTGATTGTTCTACTTTTCTGAAGAAATGAACTGGTTTAAAAAGGCAGGGGCGAACAAGGAAGAAAGTCAAACCTCTTCCCAGTCTTTGGATTGACTTTGGCAGTATTTGTTGGCCAACTCACTCAATCAAGGCTCACCGCTGCTGTGACTATGAGGATTTGTCTATCCAGATATACCTCCTTTCTAACCAGAGAAATCAGGCAAGGATATATACACATCTGTGCCTTATACATACATACATACACACACACACACACACACACCATTCTCTCCACCACAGTATCCTTTACTTCGAATGGCAAACATTACTTACTGCCTTGGTAAAAGTATTGTGGCAGAAAAGGAGGAGAAAATCAAAGCAACTAATGTGTGATGTGCCCAAAGGTCATGGTGTTTTGCTAGAAAACCATCATCTCTGGTTAAATGTGAACTGCACTTCCACAACTTCATTTGTGATTTTACTTTCACAATTTCAAATTAGATGTAATTTTATTTTTAAACATTCAGGGAGTTAGGTTTTGGTGTTCTCTTGGCCACTCAGATTCTGGGCACATTGCCTGCCTTCATCTACCCCTATATTAATGCCTTTATATAGCTAAGAATAGCATAGAAATATAATAGAAACAAGTAAAATCAGACTGTGAATGAGCCAGACACATGATGTATGAAAAACCTTCTCTCAGATTCATCACAACTTTCAAGGTATATGTGGGTGTCACCAAATCACCTGCAAAATTGATCTATTAATGTCTTATTTGTCAGTCTAAGAAATAACAATATACAGTTAATGGCTACTAAGGCATAACAGTTTGGATCCAGATGCCTTAGGAGAAATTTTTCCTTTGGGGCCTGTTTATATCAAGCAACACCTGTTTCATGTCAACTCTAAACTGAAAGTTTGTCAGAACAACAAAAGCAGTTCACAGTTCCAAAAACATAGAGGGCTCTCAAAAATTGCTTGATATATTCTGAGGTCAGTAATGCCTATGCTGATCCACTCATTGGACTTCTTTTTCAACTAGCCTTTTATGATAATGACTATAAACAGAAACATAAATTGGGTTTTGCCCATTCTGTTTCTACCTAGGGAAAATTATGACCTCAGCTTCCTTCTACTTATTTTGCTATCCTAAAAAAAGCAAGCTCACTCTGTTGGGCAACTAGATACACATATCATGCATCACCTCCCTACCAACTTTTGTTCATTAACTGAGGTTGAGTGGATCCTAAAATCTGAACATTAACTTCAGATTCCTATAAAGAGATTACTCTTAACAAAAGCTCTGGTTTCCTCAATTACTTAGGTTCTGTTAGGGTAGCAGGGAATCCAAGTGAATTAGCAATGGAATTGCCTGAAACTATTAATACATGTTTTGGACTTAATAGATCAGTCACCCTTTTATATTTGTATTAATGGGGAGGGAACACGGGCATAGGGCATAATCAAAGCCCTTTGAACTTGGCTTTAAAATACAGAACAAGCAAATACCTTTGAACTTGGCTTTAAAATATAGAATAAGGAAATTTTGGAGGACTACAATTTGAAATGGTTTTACATGAGTTTGCATCCTAAGAGCAGGAGATGTAGGAGTGGCTCTATATTTTGGGATGGGTTTGCTCTATTTAGTTGTTCTGCCAAAAGTTTTCTCAGACTACCTTGGGAGATGTCATGTTACCTGATTGCCTTGTGTTGTGCTTGAGAATGATGCTAGTCTCTGAATTACACATTTTATTTCTGCTTTTTTTTCTTATCTTCTATAGATGATCACAGTAGGGTGAAGTTAAGACCTTTACCAGGAAAAGACTCTAAGCACAGCGACTACATTAATGCAAACTATGTTGATGTAAGTCAGAACCGTTATTATAAACCTGTTTCTGGAAATTGAAGACTGCAGCAGAAACTGTTTAATGTATTTTAATACTGTACAGAGCTTTCACTAAAAACAAAGCCCATTCAATCTGGAAAGCATTTGAATTATTTACTGGTCTTCTGTGATAACAGCTTTCATCTTACTTTGTGCTGTGTCATTTTGAAGGGTTACAACAAAGCAAAAGCCTACATTGCCACCCAAGGACCTTTGAAGTCTACATTTGAAGATTTCTGGAGGATGATTTGGGAACAAAACACTGGAATCATTGTGATGATTACGAACCTTGTGGAAAAAGGAAGAGTAAGAGCCTCTTGACTCACTACCTTAATAATGCACCTTCATTCAAACAATACTTGTGGAATACTTGCTTTAGGGTAGGAACTTAACAAGGTATAAAGAGCTACGGAAATTAAAAGTGTTCTTTCTGCTCTACCTTGCTTATGATTCAGTAGGAAAGAGAGCTTAAGGCATTATAAGAGTAAATGTGATGATAGAGATGAGTGGAATGCTACAAAATGAATCAATGTATCTTCTGTATATTCCTCTATACAGAGATTTTTAAAAGGAGCTAATACTTGAACAATGATTAGGAGGAATTACACGGGCTAAAAAGAGAAGGAAAGGGTGTTCTAAGTACAGGGGACAGACAGAACAGTAAACAGGGAAGTTGAAAGAAGCATGGTGTAAACAAGGAACTACTAATAGTTAAGATTGGCAGAAGCAAAAATTGCCTAAACAGTTTGACCATCATTAAGAGGACCTTTTTAAAAAATGATTAATGCTGTAGAATTTATTGGATTATGAGTTTACATTAGATGATGCCAATTTAGGCTGGAATAAAAGCTACACTTCAAGGAATCACCACACTGGGTTGACAGGTGCAGCCAACCACTATGGCACACGATTACCTATGTAACAAACCTGCACATCTTGCACATATACCCCAAAACTAAAAATTAAAAATTAAAAACAAAAAAATAAATAAGTAAAAGAAGCTACGCTTCAGGTTCCCTGCTCAAAATCACCACTGCTTCATGTTGTAGAGTCCCTGTTTTATTTTTGGTGATCCAAGTTACAACTAGAAGAGTCTCACAGTTAGAAGAGACCCTTCCATGAATCCAACCCAGCCTTCCAGCCTTCCAGATGATACTTAAGCTCCCTTTATAACAAACCCTACCCACATTTCTTACAGGTCAGACATAGAGGTTTCTTTCTTGGTCCCTTTTAAAAATGCATTATATATTGAAAGGTGATCATAAATACTACGCCCATTTCTCACATGGTCTTACACAAACTTATCCCAAGCCATCAGCCTTGTCAGAGGTCACACCTGCCTTTAAGCAGTTCAACTCATGTATTCCTTTTTCAGTCAAATAGCAATCTCACCTGTGTTTTAACATTGTCGTTTGAAATTACATTATCAATAGAATTGTGACGTAGATTGCAGTTATACAACTTTTTTCTTTCTGCAGCGAAAATGTGATCAGTATTGGCCAACAGAGAATAGTGAGGAGTATGGAAACATTATTGTCACGCTGAAGAGCACAAAAGTACATGCCTGCTACACTGTTCGTCGTTTTTCAGTCAGAAATACAAAAGTGAAAAAGGTATGGAATGAATTGGGTAGGCTGCCAGGACATCTCCTTTTTATGCTTGTATGAAAATTACTGTACAACCAAGGCCAAATCTCATAACCAACTTTGTTTCTAAAAAGTATTTTTAAAACATTTTTTCATAACTCTTTTGATTGACATCAGTGTATGGTGTGAAAGGTATTGGCAAAGCATATAATAGAATTTAACTGGCCTGATTGAGCTCTTTAATCTCTACATGAACAGCCTTCATTTTAAAAAAAGATCATACTCTTAGGTTTTGGTATAATACTCAGCATATATGGCAGCATCTGTTTGACTTAGCTTTTTTATTCCAATTTTCTGACAGATATAAAGCATTGTTTCCCAAAGTGTGTTCCAAGGAATACTTGTCCTGTAACATTCTTGTAAACAGCAGATTCTGCTGTTCAAGAATGGGAAATGAATGCTACATAATATATATCTCCCCACCATTTTAGAAATTTACAGTGAACATAAGTGACCAGAGCACTGATGTTAACAATAATACCCTTTTCTATAGAATTACTAATACCCTGAGAATCACATTTTGTGGAAATACTGTTTTCAGGTTATCTCAGTTTCTTTTTCAAAATCCACTGTGACAACAAATATCTTAGATCGATCATCACAGCAGTACAGCAATCCCCCTTAGTTGTGGAAGGTATGTTTCAAGACCCCCCAGTGGATGCTTGAAACCTCAGGTAGTACTGAAGCCTATTTATACAATGTATTTTCCTATACATACATATCTATGATAAAATTTAATTTATAAATTAGGCACAGCAAGAGATTAACAATAATACTGAAACAGAACAATAATATTCTGTAATAAAAGTTATATGAATATATACTGTTTCTCTTAAAATACTGTAATATTTTTGGACTGTGACTGACCTCAGGAATGTGAAACTGCATCTAAGGAGGAACTACTGTATTAAGAACTATAAATAGATGTTCATTAAAAATGTAGTTATTCCTCAGAACGTAGGTATGGCAGTTAAGTTTGCAGCAATGGGATAATTTTTTTTTTCTTGGTGTCTTGGACATTTTGGAAAATGTGATAAAACTGTAGCCTCCCTGCCCCATTTATATTCACACTTACTCACATTTTTATATAAAATTTCAGTGGCTCCAAAGCCCATCTGTTATCCCAGGTTAACAGTCCTTTCTATGTATATTTATTTCCCAAAATGGCAGAAATAACATGAATATCAGTAGCATAGCAATACATCTGTATTCTCTATTATGAAATAGAGCTGCTGGCTGGCTCAAGATGATCAATAACAGCATAAAACGTATAAAGCCCAACTGATGGGAATATTTCAGGTATTTAAACAGGGCCCACTTACTCTTGTTTTAGAAACAGCTTAAGTCAGAGGAAGAAGTCAAATAGGAACTTTAGGTGTTTAACAAACTAACAGGAAAAAGTAGAAAAATGAGAGTTAACAGAAGAATTAAATTAAAGCCATCATGGGCCTTTGTACAACAGCACAGGACCAGACACCCTTCAAGCTTCAATGTTGATTAATGACCCTGAGTCATCCAAAATTTAGAAATTATAGAGGTATTGATAATAAATCATATCATAGCAAGTAATCTATTTGGGGAAATATTTCATCTAAAGTAGTTAAAATGTAAAAAGTTGAGACAAAGGAAAACTACTCTGAAAAAGTCATTTATGAAAGTGACACATAAATGAGACATTGCCTCTGACTGTAAAGACAGAAGTATTTGACACTTAAAATCTTCCCATCGCTTCCTGGATAGTATACAGCATCAATCAGCACTCTGGCTCCTAAAGGTCCAGCCTGGACAGTGGAGAAGGAATCAAAATCATAGCCCACAGAGACATGAAAGCAAAGTACTAACATCTGAACTTGGGGGCAGAAAATCAGGAAATGGAGGCCTTGCAGGAAAATTAAAAGTGCTTTGGATAGATAGTTCTAAATCCAAAAAAACCTGATACTAAATATTAAATATTCATTCTTAGTACAATCTTAAACAGTCTTCTCTTCTAAGTGATAGTGACACTTCATATCCAGCTTGGTAAAGTCTCCATTTAATGGCATGAAAGTTGGCTACAAGAGGGAATAAACTAGCCTGGGAACAGTGATTAGGGTGAATGTGATCAGTGGTCATGTATCCTGACACCCTTACATTATTTTTTTCCAGAATGTCCACCCCTCACCTTAAAGACATCTTTTTTCACTTTTCTCATAGGGTCAGAAGGGAAATCCCAAGGGTCGTCAGAATGAAAGGATAGTGATCCAGTATCACTATACGCAGTGGCCTGACATGGGAGTTCCCGAGTATGCCCTTCCAGTACTGACTTTCGTGAGGAGATCCTCGGCAGCTCGGATGCCAGAAATGGGCCCTGTGTTGGTGCACTGCAGGTAGGGCCTGGGATTCAACATGTGAAACAGATGGGGCAGGGGACTTAGGCCTCAGTGACCTTGGACCACAATGACTGCTACTGTTTTCACTTAGAAGCTGAATCTTCCACTGGAAACTGGGATGGATAAGACCTGCCATAGTCTTAAAGAGGCTGTATTCCTGTAATATTAAGAAATCATCTGCTGCTTCTGTGAATTTTTAAAAACTAGATCAATCTCTAGTTTTTATAAAATCATCTTATTAATAATATCAGCCAGGCGTGGAGGCCAACACCTGTAATTCCAGCACTTTGGGAGGCTGAGGTGGGAGGATCACTTGAGCCCAGGAATTTGAGAGCAGCCTGGGCAACAAAGTGAGACCCCATTTTTACAAAAAATAAAAATAAAAAAATTAGCCAGCATGGTGGCACACGCCTGTGGTCCCAGCTACATGGGAGGCTGAGATAGAAGGATCCCTTGAGCCCAGTAGGTCAAGGCTGCAGTGAGCTGTGTTCATGTAACTGCACTCCAGCCTGGGTGATAGAGCAAGACCCTGACCCAAAAAAAAAAAAAATTACAAAATCCCCATTGTTTATAGGAAAAGTGTAGCCTGATCCTAATAAATAAAAATAATTACCTTAAGCACAAGAACTTTCCACACTACAATAGACATTGTGTTTTTGTAAATGGCTTTTCTGAAAGGTTCTTCTAAGTAACAATATTTATAGTATATATGAAAAGATTTCATTTTTAAATTTTTACTTTATATGTTCCATATAAAATACCTTTTCAAAAGCACTGGGAAATCCTTGTATAAAGCTTGTTTTCTGTCAGCTACACTAAATGACTTTAGTTGGTTGTTTAAAAATACTTTTATTCTATTTCATTTGCAAATGCATTCTTGCCTCTTTTTTGTTTGTTTGTTTTAAACTTTGGTACTCAAATAGATGTCGCTTGTTCCGTGATTTACGTTGCAATGCTAAATGAATAACATGTCACCTATACTAGGTTATCTAAGTGGGGTTTAGGCTGGGCATGGTGGCTTACACCTGTAATCCCAGCAGTTTGGGAGGCCAAAGTGGGCGGATCACCTGAGGTTAGGCGTTCGATACCAGCCTGGCCAACATGGTGAAACCTCTACTAAAGATAAAAAATTAGTCGGGTGTAGTGGTACACATCTGTAATCCCAGCTACTCGGGAGGCCGAGGCTCAAGAATTGCTTGAACCGGGAGGCAGAGGTTGCAGTGAACTGAGATTGCACCACTGCACTCCAGCCTGGGCAACAGAGTGAGACTCTGTCTCAAAAAAATAATAAAATAAATGGGGTTTAGATGGTAATTTTTCGAATCCAAAGTTAACAGTATGATAAAACAAAAGTGCCAGTTGAATGTCTTCATTTCTTACAGCGCTGGTGTGGGCAGAACAGGCACCTATATTGTAATAGACAGCATGCTGCAACAGATAAAAGACAAAAGCACAGTTAATGTCCTGGGATTCCTGAAGCATATCAGGACACAGCGTAACTACCTCGTCCAGACTGAGGTAAGGAGTAGCTGCCAACGTCCTCATGAGATTCTGGCAAATGCTGTAACTGAAATTTGTTAAATGATAGTGAAGAGACAGATTCATTCTTTTAGGGCTTGCAGTAATTTACAGGTTTGTATTAGAAGACATTCTGACCATGATACTATTCTATGGATCATAGTTTTCTATTTCTGTATGGATCTTAACATTGGGATTCCTAAATAACTACACAAGTACTTATGAAACAGGTACAGTTGTTTCAAGAGCTGTGTTAGATGGTAGGGGAAGTTAAACATGTTGTCTGGCCTGAGAAATACATAGGAGAGGATGGTTCTAAAACCATTCATTGAACACAATTTCTTGATTACTTATTGAGTAGAAGCAATAAGCACAGTATAGAATACCGTGATCCAGGCACAGTATAGAATACAGAGCTAAACTTAACACAGTCTCTACTGTAAAGTAAGTTTGGATTGATACAGTGAGTATTGGAGCAAATCACCTAGCTGTAAGTTCTTGAAGGAATTCACTGGGAGGTCCCTGTTAGGGGCAGAATTAAACAAAGGTACACTTCATGAATGACTGGCTAAACCTTAACTCTCCCTCAGTGACTACCATGTATTGTACCTCTTAGGAGCAGTACATTTTCATCCATGATGCCTTGTTGGAAGCCATTCTTGGAAAGGAGACTGAAGTATCTTCAAATCAGCTGCACAGCTATGTTAACAGCATCCTTATACCAGGAGTAGGAGGAAAGACACGACTGGAAAAGCAATTCAAGGTAGTACTTTGAATAAGTTTCTTTGGCATAAAGCAAGGAAATGTTTTAAATGCCTTGAGTTTGGGGGTTATGTCTTCTTTGCATTAATCTATACACTGAAATGGATTACTGTTTGTACTCCTTGTACTCCTTAAATGTGATGCAAAAGAAAAAACGATTTTGACCATGTATGAATTGTTGGTGTTCAAGTAGATATACAGTGTTGTATTTTCTTCTGAGCAATTTATTACTTTATCTGAACATAAACATCAGCCCCTGGCCATAATAACATAGTACTTTAGAGTCACTCATTTAGTCCAAAAAATATCCTCTGTATTTTTTCTGAACTAATCTATCTTACCTTAATTATTAAGAATGATTACTTGTAGACATATTGTCCTAAAAATATGCCTATTTCAAAAACTATTTCAGAAGATAATTTAGAAATTTCAAAAGAATTACTAAACAATACTAGAGAAAAGTTAACTTTTCCTAAATGGTTGTTCTTTTTCTTTGATAGGGACATGAAGAAGCTTAAAAGCTGTTAAGGTTTATATGGAATTGACTGAAGTGAAGGTGAAAAAGAGAGATTATAAGGACTATTAAAATAATTAAGGCTCAGTCATCTGATAACAAATCAAAGTTGCTTCTAACTTTGAAACATTGCCTCTCCAGTTACCAAGTGCTTTCCTATTTATCTTTGTCTTTTAAATTCTATTTTGCACATTGTTCTGTATGTAAATAGTTTCTCCCTTTGTATCAAGATTCAAAGAATGAGATGAATCTACAGTTTTAGTTTTCATGGTAAAACCTTCCATAGACTCTGAAACTTTCATCTGAATCTCAGCTGAAGAAATGAGACTGCCAAGCAAATTATACCAAGTGATATGAAATGAAAAATAATTTAATGTCACTGAGTTCAATCATAAAAGTAATTTAACATTTTTAGCTCCCGATTAACATTCTAACTACTATAAAACCATGAGGTAATTAATAATGAGGACACAGTGTATCATTGTAAATGTTTAACATGAATTCTTACAAAATATTAAGTACCAACATTTCTTACATTCTGCCTTTTTCATTTCTTCAATTTTTTTTATACATACTTTAAAACTTCATTTAAGAAATGCGGCTGGGCATGGTGGCTCACGCCTGTAATCCCAGCACTTTGGGAGGCCGAGGTGGGCGGATCACGAGGTCAGGAGATTGAGACCATCCTGGCTAACACGATGAAACCCCATCTCTACTAAAAATATAATAAATTAGCTGGGCGTGGTGGCGGGCGTCTGTAGTCCCAGCTACTCGGGAGGCTGAGGCAGGAGAATGGCGTGAACCTGGTAGGCGGAGCTTGCAGTGAGCCAAGATCACGATACTGCACTCCAGCCTGGGCGACAGAGCAAGACTCCATCTTAAAAAAAAAAAAAAGAAATGCGACCAGGTAGTTGGTTCTTTTACAGGCACTAACCATTTTAGAGCTCAAGATGAAGAAGAAAAGAATCAAATTTGAAAATGAAAATTATATCCAGGGACCATGAGTTTTACTAAAGCATCTGGAGAACACTGATCTCATGTACTCCATTAAGATGGATGCCAGCCCCCCAAAAAATAGGATTAACAAAATAGTTCAACCAAGCTACATAAACAAACTACTGGGCCGGTTACTTATAACAGCCTCAGAACAATGTTAGTTCAGTTCAACAGAAATGCACTGAGAACTAGTTAAGTACTCCTTTATCTTCAAGAAACATGATTAGCTCATAATAAATAGCATTAGGCAATCTTTTTTAATGTAGACTCACTTGGGTCTTTTATGCCAGTGAGGAATCACAGAAAAAAATTCACAGCAGCAGTGACATCATATAACAGAAGAATCCACATAGTTCTATAAATATCTATTGCACACAGCACCTGTTTAGGGCCTGATAGTAGAAATAAGAAAGATGCAATCAAGGTCACTGAGAGAAGTACCACTAGGAAAGCACAAGAGTGTTCTCTGGGGCTGGGCATGGTAGATTACACCTGTACTCCCAGAGCAGCCTGGGCAACACAGGAAGACCCAAATTCTATAAGCAATTTTTAGCTGGTTGTGCTGATGATGCACCCGTGGTCCTAGCTACTCAGGAAGCTGAGGTGGGAGGATCACAGTTACAGTGAGCTACGATCATGCCACTGCACTCCAGCCTGGGCAAGAGAGCAAGACCCTGTGTCTTAAAAGGTTCTTTGTGGCACAAAAATGGTCTTCTTTATCAGTAATCTGCTTGGGATTTTTGCCAAAGCATCAAGCAAATGCTATCAATTGTATCTTTGAATGAAGACTAAAATGTTTTTTCTTTTTCAGTTGGTCACACAATGTAATGCAAAATATGTGGAATGTTTTAGTGCTCAGAAAGAGTGTAACAAAGAAAAGAACAGAAACTCTTCAGTTGTGCCATGTAAGCCTTTAAAATCAGTTTGTTAGTGATCTTTTTTACTGGATTGTATGTTATGTACAGAGACAGCCACTACTCTGATGCTATTGTGATAGCACCCTTCAATTGTACTGTACGTGGCTATATGGTAGAAGGTTTTGAAAATGTCCTTTTAGTAACCTCATTAATATATGACTTTATACCAGCCTCTTACCTGGTACTACCAAAAGGGAAAATGTTATGCTTATTCAACTAAGGTAGTTTAATGAAACTGGGAGAGGTGGCTATCAGTGTCAGCAAGTTGCTGCATCTATCTGACATAGAATACAGCTTCATTTCACCTTGGAATGTAAGAATTGGGTCACTTCTACAATATTATAACATAAAAAATAATAATAAAGCTGTAATTGCTGTGGCATTAACATTCCTTTACAACTTAGAATCCTGGATGAATCTATACAACTAGAACCACATTATTCAGTTACTGTGGCTATTGAGATCAAGGCACTGTTGACGGGGGTGACCTTTGTATAAATAACTAAGGACACAGCTGTCTGCGTGCCATAGACATAGACATGGGTGATCATTGGGGAGATTTATCTCTAATGAAAAAGGCCTCTAAGACCATCGTGGGCAGAAAAAGGGGTAGACATCGTAGGCAGACATGGAGAAAGGGGTTGGTAAAAGGGCAGAGTATATGTTGGTATAATTGTAGGAATAACAAATTAGAGTCAAAAGTTATCTAAAACCCTATGTCATGTCCATATAAAGTATTCTGTTACTGATCTGCTGTAAAAATCTCTCCCACAGTAAAACTGTATTCCTACAATGCCTGGGTCCTTCTGGGTATGTGCAGCAAAATTTCATTTTACATTCTGCCTCAGCTGATAACACTTGAGCTTGTTTAAAAATATAGATAAGTCTTAGAAAGGGAAGCCAGGAGGATATGTTATTCATCAAGCAAATCTCAGAAAGAGCTGTTGGTTCTGTGTGTATAATAAGGCAAATGTGGTGTTTTTGTTTTTTCCATATGATAGCTGAGCGTGCTCGAGTGGGTCTTGCACCATTGCCTGGAATGAAAGGAACAGATTACATTAATGCTTCTTATATCATGGTGAGAGTCAACAGTTAATTATAAATAAAGTCAATTAAACTGAAAGGTGTTAAAGAGCAGATACCACCTGTGTGACTGATGTCATTTTTGAAATAATTTCTCAATGTGTAATACGAAAAGTAGAGAGATTTCTGTATCTGGAAACTTTTTGGGGGTACAAAAATGCTTAAATTAAGCAGAATGCTTCTTCAGGAATTAATTTTATTGTTAATTTCACACATCTAGTCTTTGAATAAATGTTGAAATTTCTGTTAAGTGAAAACAGCAGGGGTAACTAGAAGTGAACTGCACATGGAGAGAAATTTGTCTGCACAATGCTAGCAGAAGTACATCTAAAAATTAGCCAAATGTACTGAATGCCTTTCCCAATTATTTTAGTGTAGTCAAAACAATGCTATCTTATTTCACGAATATATTTTACTACCACAAAGTTAAAATAAAACATTCATATTCACTGATTTTTTTTTGTCTTCCCAACTGAAGGGCTATTATAGGAGCAATGAATTTATTATAACTCAGCATCCTCTGCCACATACTACGAAAGATTTCTGGCGAATGATTTGGGATCATAACGCACAGATCATTGTCATGCTGCCAGACAACCAGAGCTTGGTAAGTAAAGCACATCTGCTATATATTAATGAGCCCATGAGGCTACAAGCATAAATTACTCTGATACTTTGCCATAGGGCTATAGTAACCATATATGCTAGGGAGGGAATTTAAAATTTTTAAATTCTCATCTTGAAGTCTATAGAGATTCCTTTCATATTCTCACAATACTGTCCCTATCAGTATCCCATTACTTGATTCTCTGATGCTACTGATATCACCCTTCAATTATACTGTCTGTGGTGGTATGGTAAAAGGTTTTGAAAATGTTTTTAGTAACCTCATTAATGTATGACTACACTAACCTCTTACCTGCTGTATGTCACTTTTGAAAAGTAAATAATTGTAGCTTACAGGTACTGAGTATGTAACTGTGTTTACGTGTATTAACTTGTTTAATCCTCAACAATTTTAAGACATACATACTATTATTATCTCACATAATAGCTGAGAAAACTGAGGGAACAAACTTGCTCAAGAGCACACACAAGTAACTGGAGCCAGGATTTCAACCTGAGTCATCTGTCTCCAGAGACCATGCTTATAATCATTTTGCTGTATATCCTACCCCAAAATATTGTGTCAAAAGTACTAATAATGTATCTTTTTTTCCCATTCCATAGGCAAGTCAGATCTACTGCAGGGATAGGCTATTTTGTTCCAACTTAAAAGTCTTTAAGACTAAGCTGCTACCACTTTCCCCTCCCGTAGTCCTTCTCTATTTCAGTCTCTAAACTATACAGAAGGGTAAGCAAGTTTGTAAAACAGACTTAAAGGTTTCTGCTTTGATCTTGTGGATACTTAAGTTTCAGAATTAGCTGGGTCTATAAAAGTTACTATGTGGACATGTGAACCCATAAGGTAAAAACAGAAAACATTGAGGATCTGCCTTTATGATAGTCAGATTAATGAGTTTTTTAATCAAAGAAGAACAGCATGTGACTGAACCCCCAGTCTTGGTGACATACATTTGACTGTGTGCCCAGTCAGTAGGAACTTCTTCACTTTGTCGCATTTTGCTCCAGCTTCAGGATACCAAAACTGCTTCTGTATGATGGAATGGCAACAAAGTTGAGAATCTTAAACTAAAAGCTGGAGTGTAAATTTTCAAATTAGCTGGCAATAGGGTCTATTCTGTTTGGCATGTGGAAATTGGAGGCACTTAGGGTTGTTAAAACGTTCATTTGTTGGATGAATCAGTATTTTGTTATTGTCACTTAACAGAGGGCAATCACCATAAAGCATCTACTCAGCAGCTCATTTGTATGGGGAGGCTGGGAGAAGACTGGACCAAATAAGTGGATACATGTTCTGCAGACACTGAGGATATAGGAACATGGCCATCTCAGTGTCTCTCTGAGGCCTCAGAAGGCTAGATTAGAATCATATACAACTGACCTCTCAGTTCTGAGATGGAGAGTTTCATCATTGCACAGTTTTTCCTAAAGACTGATATCTCTGAGTTCTTTTTGTTTGTTGTATTATTACTGCTATACCTTTACCAGGTCATAATTCTGTAAGGAGCCCAAAAGTCACTGCTTTCTAACTCACAAAGTACTCACAAAGTACAAAGATGCCCAGATATCTTTGACCTATAAATATAGTTGTAAGCAAAACAGTCATGAGACCAGTGTGCCTGCTAAATTAAGAAGTAGCATTTATTTTTCTTAGACTTTCAAGATGAAACATTTTTTCTACCTTTCTTCTACCATAACTCAAATCCCTTTGGTAGCCTTTAAGCTAGTTAATTTATTATTCATGTTATCATCATAGTATTTCTTTAAGGTAAGTAGTTTTTATTCCCACTTTCCAGATATGGAAATTAAGGTTCAGATTAATTTACCCAAGATCACATCCACTAAAAAATCCTGTGCTTAATCTGTGCATATTTGTTACATTTAGATGCCCTGTTCATTACCTTATATCTTTAATATCAGTGTCCTTGGACAAAACCTGTTAAAACCCATGACAGTTACAGACTTCTTTTGTATAGACTAAACCCAGTTGCTAATCTGTTTCCCCTTATGCTGAGCTTTAAAAATAAAAATGTACTTGGCAATAAGCTATATTGAAACTTGAAAGGGTGATAAGTCTTATTGGACTGTTGGCTCATTTCTAATGCAACAATGTAAGATTAAACAAAGCCTTCTTTGTTTTGAACATTATTCAGAATTATTTCTGACTTCAATGATAGTAGGTAGGCATCTTCAGGAAAATGCCCCATAGGAACCTATATACTACAGGAAAACTACAGTTTGCTATTTGAGCTGATTAGGATACGTGGTGTACATCATAATCATATTTCTCACAGTCTCCAACCTATGCAACAATTAACTTTCTCTTAGGCACCCATAGTTTTTAGGGACAGAATTCAAGTACCAAGCCTGCATATCTATTTTTAATCTTAAAATGGATGAACATTTAAAGCATGCCTGATTCAAGGCTGAAAGACTTTCTATGTTATCCCCTCTTGAAATATAACATTGACAGATTTACTTTTCTTTTAAAACTGCCTTGTACATACAGCCAACCTACTTACTCACACACAATGTTCCAAAAAAGTTCTATCCCTTGCCATTTATTAGCAGTGTGATTTTAGATAATTTATGGACCCTCTCCCCAAAGCCTTGTGTCTTCATCTGTAAAGACAGATGATAAAAAATCTCCTCAGGGTTAATATACAAAATTTGTACAGAACTCATACAACTCAATCATGAAATACCTGATTTAAAAATGGGCAAAAGACCTGAATAGACATTTCTCCAAAGAAGACATAAAGATGGTTCCAACTGGTATATGAAAAGGTGCTCAACCTCATTAACTTTCAGGGAAATGCAAATCAAAATACCTCACACCCACTAGGATAGTTATTTAAAAAAATCAAAAGATACCAAAAGCTGGTAAGGGTAACAAAGAAAACTCTCACACACCGTTGATGGGATTGTAGATTGGTAGAGCCATGATGGAAAACTGTCTGGAGGTTTCTAAATAAGTTAAAAATAGAACTACCATAAGATCCAGCAGTCCTTCTTGTGGGCATGTACCCAAAGGAAGTGAAATCAACACCTTGTAAAGATATTTGCACTCCCCTGTTCACTGCAGCCTTATTAGCAATCGCCAAGCTATGGAAACAACCTAAGTTTCCATCAACAGATAAATGGATAAAGAAATTGTGGGGTAGGGAGGAAATGGGAAGATGTAAAATAAATCAAGAGGATACAAAACAACAGATGAGGAAGAACAAGTTTAGAGATCTCATGTCCAACATGAGGACTACAGGTAACAAAACTGCACTGTATTTGGGAATCATGCCAATATTGAGTACATTTTAGCTGTTCCTGCCACAAAAACGGAAGTGAGATGATGGGTATGTTAATTTGCTCCTAACTATAGTAACCTTTTTACTATCTGTATGTATCCGACATCATACTAAAAATATACAAGAAAACTTACAATGTTTATGAAAGTCCTTTGCAAAATGCAGTTCAACTACAGAATTATTAACATAATCCATAGGAAATAATTAGCATGTCTTGATTGCTTAAGCAATTGTGAAATAACAAAATTAATTGACCTAGATCCTGCTTCCTTTTTTACTATGTCAATATTACAGAATACTTTTCAACTGTAGTAAGTCCCCTATAGTGGGAGTGTTTCAGGTTGCTACACTAACAGGTGAGAGGTGCTAGAAAATGATTATCAAAATATATTTTACAATAGAATAACCATTCAACTTGGTATAATTAGATGGGAACATATAACTCTATGAATTCAGTTTAAAAGAAGGCTTGAGAGGTATGGGAAATGACAAAATCAGTATGCAAGAAATAAAAAACAAATGCTTGACAGAACTGCAGAGGCTTTTTTGTTTGTTTTTGTTTCCCAAAGGCAGAAGATGAGTTTGTGTACTGGCCAAGTCGAGAAGAATCCATGAACTGTGAGGCCTTTACCGTCACCCTTATCAGCAAAGACAGACTGTGCCTCTCTAATGAAGAACAAATTATCATCCATGACTTTATCCTTGAAGCTACACAGGTAACCTAAACCTCAGTTCCTCACTAATAGCCATACCTGGGCCCTGGATCATCATTCTAAATAATAATGAAATAATTTACCACCCTCAAGCCAGGCTCAGGCATTTAAGTAAGACTTAATTTTAAATATTTACATTTTCCTTTTTTCTTCCTTCAAATATTTGCTTTTTCCAGCTGGCTAGATGAAATGTAACAGTTCCTCCGATTCAGCATGCATACAAATAGGTCTGTTGACCTAATTATAAAAACAATATACTAGAGCTCAATATTTTCTTTGCCATCAGAAATGTAAGCTTTGCAATGTGTTGCAGAGATGATAATACCAAGTTTTTTAAGTAAATATTTTGCTGCCTTCTTGTGGGATAAGGTTGGGGGGGCTCTTATACTAGTAATTTAAAGGATGAGCCCCTTCCTTGTTTTCCTTTAATGTTATAAATAAGAAAATAGAGTAGCATATAAGGTCTTTAATAATTTATTGTCACTTGAAATTTTTGACTAAGCCAAATGAAATTGTTTCACTAGCATGACCTACTTGGATGTTTGTCTTGAGACAGGGTCTCACTCACAGTGGCATCATCAAAGCTCAAACTCCTGGGCTCACGTGATCCTTTCACATCAGCCTCCCGAATAGCAAAGACTAAGGCACATGCCACATGACTGGTTTTTTTAATTTTAATTTTTTAGAGACAGGTCTCCCTGTGTTGCCCAGGTGGGTCTTGAACTCCTGGCCACCTTGGCCTCCCAAAGTGCTGAATTACAGGCATGAACCACTATGCCTAGCCATGCTTTTTTTTTTTTTTAAAAAAAAAAAAAAAAAAAGCAAGCAAGCAAGCAAACCTTCTTGGCATTTTTCTTCTTTCCAACTGTGGTTTGGTCAACACAACATTGTTGAGAGTTACCTATAACACATGCTTTCTCAGGAGCAAGTTCTAGTCATTAGATTGTAGATATGTGAAATAAAGGAAGGGATTTGACTCATGTTGTATTGGTTACAGGATGACTATGTCTTAGAAGTTCGGCACTTTCAGTGTCCCAAATGGCCTAACCCAGATGCCCCCATAAGCAGTACCTTTGAACTTATCAACGTCATCAAGGAAGAGGCCTTAACAAGGGATGGTCCCACCATTGTTCATGATGAGTATGTATCTGTTTCTTAATTTTAAAATGTAGACAGTTTTTTTTTGTTTAAGTTCTTGTTGAAAGCAGTAGAAAAGGAAACCAGAATTTTAAAACCTATCTATCACCTCAGCTTGTGACAACTCCATGTTGTTTCTAATGTGGACATGTACAAAGTGTTGTTGCTCTGTTTACATTGTAATATGTCAAACTCTTCCAAGACTCCCAGGTTCTTCTAGAGTATATGGTCGAGAAAGGGGAGAGTATTATATCTTAGCCTACAGAAGTAGACCTGCATGCATTTAGAGGTTTTATGTGTTAGTAACAAATGAGTAAATTAATAACTGTTTACATTAATTAATTTTTTAAAATCCTTACACTGAATTTCAAACACTTGTTAGGGAAATAACCTTTTAAAATATGACTTAGTTGATGAGTAGAGATAAAACTAGTAGTATTAATGATAATATTTAAAGTTCATGATGTGTTTTAAAGTCTACAGTACTGTCTTTTGGGATTTAAAGATAAGGAATATGAATTCTCAAAGAGAAAAATAACTTGCACCTGTTCTCAGAGCTTCTAAGTGTCCGAATGGTATCCCAGCCCAGCACCTTTCCACTTTAATAACAAGGAAAGGATCATAGATATATCTTATTGTTTATGGATATTTGGAGCCAAACTTCATGGCCTGTAAGTTGGTTATATAATTGGGTCATTTCAGATCTCACAAACCTTTAGCCAATATTACACATTCCCATTTTTATTTTAGTTCCAAGGTAGCTCTTGGTCAGCAGCATCCATTATGTTCATTAAATTACCAACTAGCATAAAGTATTAATAAATTTGAAAGTGAAGCTTATTGTGAAGGCTTTTTTTCCTTGCACTAATGCTGTAACATGAAGTACACAAGGGCTCAGCACCTTCATTCACCTCAAATCACAGTACTCTCCTACTTGAAGTAATGTGTACTAGCTGCTTCCAAAAAATGTTATAGTCTTTCAAAACATTGGCCTGACTCTTAATTAGTAAGATGAAAACTTAAGATTTGAAAAGCATTACAGTTGAAACATTAATTAAATAGCACACTAAGTAAGATCACCGGAAATGTGACAACCATCAACAGTGGTTAAATAGCACAGACAGCCTCAAAATAACCGGGGAGTTGCTACTGAACTAAAATTTTGTGGTATGCAGTTATAGCATAAAGTTAGGGCATTTTCTAGAATTCCTGAGTTTTACCAGCTCTTATCATCTCTTGTCATCAAATTCTAATGTTACTGCCCAATTACATGACTGATTTTGCCGTTATGGTAGTACTCCGAGGTGTTTTGTCCTGAAGTCAGTAATGCACCAAATCTTATATTTTAGGGTAAGGAAAAAGGAAAAGAAAAATAACCACCAGTTAAATACTAAACAGAAGTGTTTGATTCACTTATCTATATTCAACTTTTAAGTAATTTTGTCTTATTCAGTGATTTTTATGTCACATGCTGAATATATATCCCCTCCGGAATTAATCAAATGTATGCAGGCCTCATTCTTAGGCCTATATACAAAAAGAGCAAATTAATCCTAAACCAGTAGATCTGCAAATATCATATAGGTGAGATGCATTAAAAGCCACCAGTAGAAATGTATTAATTCATTTATCTACTCTCTGCAGAGAATAAGTTAATTCCATTGAAATTACTGAAGAGAAACTTTAAAATTTTTAAACACTTGCTAGCTCTAGTGAAATACTCTGAACACCAGTTCCTTTTCAGTTTCCATCTTACCTACTTTTTGTACCTCTAAACATCACTTCCTGATGGCCTACAAACACCTCAAATTCAGCATAGCTACAACCAAACTCATCTTCCCTGCCTGCCCCTAATCAACTTAGTTGTACAGACCAGAAACATATCAGAGTTCTTTTTGAGTCTCCCTCATTTCCAGGTCTAATTGGCCACCACCAAGTCTTCTTGGTGCCATCCATTCTTTCAATAGACTTTTCAAAATCTTTTACAATCTGGTGTAAGTTTACATTTCCAGCTATCATCCCAATCTGCCACTGAAGTACTTCCTGCATACCACCTTGCCCCTGCAAATCCTCTTTCCTCCAAGTGCCCTTTCATTCAACACAGTTCAAAAGTCACTCTCTGAGACTCTAACTCATCCCAGAGGTGCTAAGTGAAATCATTAACATGACATCTTTACCAATGCATACCAGCTAAATGTCATTCCTTCTTATCATGTCACATCATAATTATTTGTGTACATGACTGTCACTCTCACATTGCTGAGGCCAGCAATGGTAATTTATTCATCCCAGTTTCCACAGGGTGAAACCCAGTGCCTGGGACAGCATGGGTGCTAGATAAGTATTTGCATGAAATGGGTATGTGTTGTAAATTGTGATGACTTACAAACTATTAAGCCTATGTACCCCTATACAAATTGTCCCCAGAAAGCCTTGCTTTTTGTCTCATTTATTGCTCAAAGTCATTTTGGCTGCTTAAATTCTTCTTTTCAAAGTGTTTTTAACCTCTGTCAAAGGCAGGAGTGAACAGGCTTGGGGAGAAGGCCTGCACGCATTTGATATGTGAGGCAAAGAGTTGAACTTTTAGTGTGCAAACACTGTGACATCTATTTGGTCTTCATAGAGATCTTCTTAACACCTACTTTTGGGGGCGGCAGGTGGTGGTGGTGGCGGCGGTGGCGGTCTCAGGTGTGTCCTAGGTGGATGACATTTCTAGATAAGTGAGCTAAGAATAAAATTCCTAACCAAAAACTAAACTGCTTCTATTTGAGGACAGGCACAGCTTAAAGGCAGACGGCTTCATTCTCAGCATTCTATAGTCAACTGTTCAAGATTATTCTGCTCAGAGGCTGATTTGCATCATTACTGTTGATTTTAAAAACAGCCTGTGTTCCCACAGAAGATGTTTAGAACATAAGCATGGTTCTCACATAGTCTTATAAGACAGCTGTAGATCAGACCTCACCCAAATTACTCCATTTACTCACAGACTGAAGAAGAGTTCCCTGTGCAAATACTTAATTACTCACTCTGGAGATACATGTATCACCCTACTGGATAGCATAATAATATAAAAATACTATCTGCCTTATTCACACCCATTCTGTCATGAGTGGACAATAAATAACAGTTTCCCAGAGGTACATGACATGTGATAACATCACTTTTAGGGCTAATAGTATTTTAACATTTTCTCAGTTTTAATTTCTAATACAGTAAATATTGACATATACAGCCCAAATAAACCCCTTGAAGGTCCTCAATAATTTTTTATTTTAATTTGGCCCTGAGATCAAAGAGTCTGAAGACTGCTAAGATGGACTGTTTTCTATAGCAAAGGCTGCAAAGACACCCACAAATCATAACTAATTCCAGTATTTTCACTTTTATTGAGAGCCTTATGGAAGGCTTTCGTGTTGTCATTCTTCCCTAAGATTGATACTTATTCAAGCTTCAATTTTTTTGTTTTCCTTTCCGCCCTACTGATTTCAAACGGAAGCTCCATGTCTTCACAGTGTCAGGGTTATAACTCCGGATTTCTATCTTGGTTATGATTTTAAAAACAAAGTATTAAAAACTACAATAATTATAAGTAAATATATGAAATAGTGAAAAATGGTTAAATGCCCACAGGTACCATCCTGACTATACAAGGAACCACAATGTGTTTGTTTTAAAATGAATATAGACAGAGCACTTAAAAAACATCACTGTACATCAGGAACTTAAAGTACTTTCATTTCTTTTGTAATGTCTTTGAAGTAAAGGCAGGGAAAGATGAAAAAAAATCAGGTTTCTTTCTTAACATCACTAGTTAAATAAGCATTACTTTTAATGGAGCCCTTAGAGGAAGTGGCAAACAAAATATCAAAGCCAGTGAATTTATATACTACTCTCATTTTATCTAGGTTACAGATTACTTATATCACTTTTGCACCAAGTCCCTGTAGTTTTAAATGCAAATCCATGGAACTCGATGAACATTCTTTAATCCCACTTAGTTCCTAAACTTCTGAAAGAGAATGGCCCTTACTTTTTGTCTTTCTTCTGTCATTACGTTTGGTATGCAGAAGGTATTTAAAAGTATCTGTATATTTGATTGATCTGACTTGCTAGTTTATTGTCATATTTAAGCCATATTATATAAATACTTCCTTCATTTTGCTGCTTATTTAAGTGTGGCTAAATACAGGAAAGGCAACCCATGGAAAGGTGAGAGTAATCTCACATGGAGGGCATGCATACTCCGTAACAAACATACATGTTACCTGACTTTTCTATCTGACTGGCCACAGATAGCTTTGAAAGAGCTAAGAAAAAAGTGGGGATCTTAAGGGTAACCATTTCACTAGAACAGATTAAACAAATGTTAAATTCTTTCCCTCCCAAACAAAATCAGTACAAATGATTTTTTAATACCATGCTAAAATGATGTCAACTCAGTACAATTTAGAATCTGAGGGAAGGCAACATGCTGAACAAAAACCAAAAACCACAATAAATCAGAGTTAATAGGGTATTAAAATACATCCTCAGAGATCTAAAGGAAGATTTTATAAAATGAAGAATATTTATTATGAAATAGGAACAACTTAAGCCTAACAATGAGAAAAATACATTAATTCATGAAACTAAAAACTTAAAAGATGGGACACTACTGGAGTGCAGAACTGAAATAAAACTAGAATATGGAAGCCACATACAGAAGTTCTAACATATGTCTAAAAAGTTATCCATGGGGCAATAAAAGACAGGTTAAAGAGGAAGAAATAACAGCTGAGGATTTCCAAAAACAGAATAAAGTATTAAGTTCTTAAAGTGAGTGACCAGAATACATTTGATCAGTAGCATTCAGAGAGATTTGAATACCACAATTAACAAGCCTGATCTAATAGTGATATAGAGAAGTTTGCACCCAAGAGAGACTATATAGAGAAACCTAGAGTCTCTTCAAACACAAACGGTTTATTTATATACATTAGCCATAAATGGAATTTCAATACATTCCCCCACAACAGATACCATACAAGGCCACATTCATTGATTACAACCCACTTATATTAGAAACCAACAGTGAAATAAGATCTCAAATCCTTATAACTAGAAACTGAAATCCTTACATCTAGGATTGCTTATAAATAATTCATGGATTGAAGATGTAACCAAAATAGACATTGCGAAGTACTTAAGACTAAATGATGATAAAGGCACTGCATTTTAAAACCTGGTGAAATGGAGCCAAACTGTACTTAAAAAAAAAAAAAAAAAAAAAAAAAAACACAAAAAGCCTGTGTAAACTCTACATATTACAAAGGTTAAAAATAAATCAAGCATTCAGCTCAAGCCAGAAAAAGCACCAGATAAATCAACAAAAAGTACAAGGAATTAAAAGCAAATAGTAATGAAAATGGGGGCTGGAAGGAGATAGTAAAATTTAAGCAATAAATAGTCTAATAAGAGATACAGTTTTGGAAATATGATGAAGGAAAAATTCTACCATTTATCTGTAGCTACATTAAAAACATTCAAGAGTTGGCCAGGCACAGTGACTCACATCTATAATCCCAGCACTTTGGGAGGCCAAGACGGAAAGATTACCAGGTCAGGAGTTTGAGACCAGCCTGGCCAACATGGTGAAACCCCATCTCTACTAAAAGTACAAAAATTAGCTGGACATGGTGGCAGGCACCAGTAATCCTAGCTACTCGGGAGACTGAGGCAGGAGAATAGTTTGGACCTGGGGAGGCAGAGGTTGCAGTGAACCAAGATCGCGCCATTGCACTCCGCCTGGGCGACAGGGCGATACTTCGTCACACACACACAAAAAAATTTGAAAGTTGTTAATTTGCTTAGGTGCGATAGTATGTTTTCTTTAAGTGCTTATCTTTTAGAGTTTGATACTAAATTATGACTAAAACACCTGAGATTTGCTTCAAAATATATTGGGGAAGAAACAGAAATGAAATGAGAATGGCCATGAGCTGTTGATCATTATAACTGAATGATGACTACATGAAGGTTACTGTACTATTATGCTTTGGTGTCTGTTTAAAATTTTCTATAATAAAAAGCTAAAAATAATACACATTTTAAAAGAAAATAAGCATTTAAGATTTTATAACTCTATACTAATAAATGTTTAAGCCTAGAAATAAGCATAGTAAAATAACACTTAGTGAACACATGGTATGTGGTGTGTGCCAGTCTCTGTTCTGAGCCATTTACATGTATCAGTTCAATTTTAAACTCTAGTCTCACTATGCGATCTTGGCCAGTTACTTCACCTAAATGTGCCTTATTTATTCAACCTCAAACGGAGGTAATACTGGTACCCATACCATAGGGTTACTGTGAGGACTAAGTCAGTACATGTAAATACCTATAAGAGAACATGGCACATAAAGCACAACACATGTTAGTGATCACTAAGAACTGAATAAGAGAATGAGTTTTCCACTTGTTAGGGCCCATAAGTCCTGACCAAGGCTACATATGAAAAGTAACATACAGAAGATTTAATGCAACGTTGATTTAAACAAAAAAGGCTTAGCACCAGAATGGAAATGTATAGGCCAAGCTTACTTATTTGAACTCCAATGCAAAAATGCCAATAAAAAGTGTCTAATAAAACCTAGTATATTAAAAGAATTAATTACACATCATGAAAAACTTATCCTAGTAATGCAGAGCTGGTGTTAAGCTTTTGATATATTACCAAAAGTTTATCAGTAAATTCAGGACATTTTTAGAGACATTTAAAAAAAAAAATCAATAGATACTGAAAAGCGTACAATAAAACAACACCCATTCATGACCCCCCTCCTCCAAAAAAAACCACTTAGATTAAAAATAGAAAGCATCCTCTTTACCTTTATAATTGTTATTTACCAGATGCATATTAGCAAACATTTTAGTATTAAAAACTTAGAAGCTTGAACATTTAAGATACATGATACTTGCTTTCAGTGCTAGTATGTAAGCCTATGTAGGTGGTAGCCAACACAGTAAAAGCAGAAGATAGAAGAAGCATAAAAGTTGAACAGAGGGAATATTCGCATTATTGGCAGATAAAGATGTCAACTACCTAGAGAATCCACAAACTATTCAAACTTAAGCCAGGTTCTTCTGTTTGACCGGATACAATTTCACCATGTGAAAATCAGTAACTTTCCCATGTATGAAGTGAAACTAAACAGAAAATGTTGTCACAAAAGGAGGCCATTAATAGGAGTAACAAACTCTAAAGTACCTAAAAATTTACCAAAAATGAAATGGGCAAAGACTATAAAGAAAACTATAAAACCTAGTTAAAAGCTATAAAAGGCCTGAATAAATGGAGAAAAGACATCATGCTCATGAAGAGAAAAACTCAAGATTGAAAAGATGGTAATTTCCTCAGATCCATCTATATATTCAGTGCAACCTAATCAAAATCCCAACAAAAATGTTTGTGTTCCTTAACAATCTGGTTTCAAAATTACTATGAAACAGGATGGAGTCGGGTGGAAGGTTAGAGTTATTTGGACATAAGTGTACCAGTAAAAAATGAAAATTGTATGTTTGAATTGCTAAAAACAATATGAAGTAAATGTAGAGACAGCCAAGACTATTACAGAAACTTGCTTTATCAGATACCAACACTTATTAAGGAACTGGGATACACATGGGGAGGTACAAAAAATAGACAAACAGAATAAAAGGTCAAAATAGAGTTCAGAAATAGGCTTGCATATAGAAGAATGTAGTACATGCTAAAAAGGAAGCTGATGTCAATGAGAAAAGATCACAATGTAAAATAAGAAATGCTGGGACAACTGGTTATCCAATGGAAAAATAACTATAATCAGACCCCTTCCTTACATCAAAGCAAGAATAAGACTCAGATGAATTAGACAATTAAATGTACAAAAGTAAAATTAGAACATGTAGGAAAGTATCTTTAAAAAAAAGGTTAGAGAAAGCATTCTCAAACAAGATTCCAATAAAAGACAAAAATAAAAGATTTATCAACTTGATTACATCTAAACTATACTTTCGTATAACAAAATGACCACAAACAATGTTAAGAGAAATAGATTGGGGGGGAAAAAAAACTCACAAGTACTACAGACACTGTAAAAATAACTCCTATATAAATCAATTTGAAAGAGGCAAACTTACTAGAAAAGTGTTAATTAGGCAATTTCAGAAGAGAAAATATAGATGGTCAATATTCAAAAAAAGACATTCAGCCTCCCTGGTAATCAAGGAAATGTAAATTAAAACCCTAGTAAGATACAGTCTTCCACTCATCAGACTGGCAAAAGTGTTTCAAGTTTAAAACGATGAGGAGAAGCAAGTATTCTCATGCTGGGAATAGTATGAACAGGTAACAACCACTTGGGAAAGAAATACAGTAGTATCTTTAAAACTAAAAATGGGCATACCTGGGACCCTAGCCCTTCTACTCAGAACCTATGCTAAAGTGCACAAATTCAAACAAGCTAAATGTCCATCTAGAAGGTAAACTTCGTATGCATGTAGCAGACGAAATAATGATGAAATAATGAGTTGAACTGAAATGTAGTGATATACCTAAATCTGGAAGGCTGTATCTACATGTGTAATAATTTTTACCTCTGGAGAGGTTACCTCTAAAGTTGGGGGGTGGTGGCTAAGGGGGGACTTTGGTCTTACTTGTATTAAAGATGTAAAACATGTAATATTTTAATGTTATGTAACAATTTAGAAATGACATTTAAGTTTTTCAAAAAACAATGGGCACAGGGCATCTGAACTCCAGTCTCATCTCTGTCACCAGCCAGCAACAGCATCTTGAACAATTCATTTAATCCATCTGTTTTCTCATCACTAATGTGGAAACTATGTTCCATCACAGATTCCTGTGAAAAGTGGAGTTACCAACCTGGCCTAATGGAAATTTACTACCTTTCTAAGACTTTTTTGTGAAGCAAAGAGAACCATATTTATCTTTCCAAGGATTTCATAGAAAGTGCTCTCATTAGGAAAGTTCCACTTCAGTGCCAAAAATAATTACTTCATATGAAATTAATTTTGGAAATTGTCTGTTTGGAGCCATATATTTCCATTTTTTAATTTTTCATATTCTGTAAGTTCAATTTAACTATTTGGAACGGTTTAAAAAAAATTCAGAGCCCTTCATCACTGGCTGCTTGTCCAATAACCTCTAGTTAAGAGGTTCTCTTTATTGTTTTTTCTATTGTACCACCCAACTCATCACCAATACCAAATCATCTTTAGCTCTCCCAAGTCTACTTTTGAACCTCTCATTTCCTATTAGATATCAAGCTAAACGTCTAATGAACCAATTTGGGATATTCCACTTCATAAACAAATCTCACCTTTATGCTAGCTTCCAAATCCCTCCCCCATCCACCATTTCATTCATTCGTGTCTTTAGAATAAACGTCAAAACAGTCTACTTAGTTTCTATGAAAATACATGACAGTAATTTCGTTTAAATATATTTGGTCCCTTTATACATCTGAAATCGTATCTTTTTTTTTTCTCCCCCAGGTATGGAGCAGTTTCAGCAGGAATGTTATGTGCCCTTACCACCCTGTCCCAGCAACTGGAGAATGAAAACGCTGTGGATGTTTTCCAGGTTGCAAAAATGATCAATCTTATGAGGCCTGGAGTATTCACAGACATTGTAAGTAGTGTGCTTATGTGTAAAACCTGTACTACATCAGTTGAAACTCAGACTCACAGTTTAGAGCAGTTGTTCTCAACTGGGGGTGATTTTCCCCCACCCAGGGGACATTTGGCCATGTCTGGAGATTTTTTTGCTTGTCACAACTGCAAATGGATGGCATCTAGAGGATACAGGCCAGAGATGCTGCTAAGCAAACCACAGAGCACAAGACAGCCCTCAACACCATAGAATTATCTGGCTCAAAATGTCAGTAGTGCTCAGGTTGAGAAGCCCTGCTTTAGAGGATAGTATTCTCTGGTTATCTTAATGAACTATCAACATTGAGAATTGGTTCCAAGCTAACAGAGATCAAAAGAACATGAAGAAGGTATAGGTCTTGACTATAATGGATTCTCAAATGATTTTTTTAAAGTTTCTTAGATAACATGATATTTGTTTCTCTATTATGTTTTTCACAATTACCATTTTAATCGGTATTTCTAGCTTACATGAAATGACTAAGCTGTTCTTTGGCTCAAACTGTCTTCCTCTTGTTTTTCAGGAACAATACCAGTTCGTCTATAAAGCAATGCTCAGCTTGGTCAGCACTAAAGAAAATGGAAATGGTCCCATGACAGTGGACAAAAATGGTGCTGTTCTCATTGCAGATGAATCAGACCCTGCCGAGAGCATGGAGTCCCTAGTGTGACTGGAATCCTGAAAGGGCACTTAATTTGTAAACTTCTGAAGACTGAGAACTTTTTTGAGGCCTTTTTTGCCAGACTCTAGGTTATACAATAACCCAGTTACTTTTTTACACTGATAAAAGTTTTGATATTTATTTTTTGCCATTTTATGTCTTACTGGTATCCTACTGAGCATTTGCACCTGTGTTCATTTCACACATGGAAACGCAATGTTACCTAGTTTGCACTATATGATCAGTGTTACTGCCTATAATCTTACACAACAGCAAACCCTGATGTGACATTCCATCACAATGTACATGCTACTTTTTTTTAGTTCGATACAGTGAAGGTCTTTGTTACGACAGTGAATATTGCTTTTATTATTATTATTATTATTATTATTGCTAAAGCAGTTGCATTCTACTAGCAGGCAATGCTGTACTTTTCTTCAGTCCTCCTCTCCTTTTTTTTAGGCACTGTTCAATACTGTATGCCTTCTGTATTTTAATGGAGTGGATAGCATTGTTTTCTTTTACAGACTAGCAGGCTATTGGGAGCTAAAAAGGTCTGTTAATGTCATGGCCTTGAAACAGTTCCATTTATGCCGGTTAAGAGATCCCTTAAGAAGTTAGAAGGCTTAAGAACTGCTTCATGTGACCATCCCTTATTAGTTACAAAGTTATATTCACAGTTTTTAAAAAATGTGTCAAAATAAAGGATAACTCTGTATTACAGCTTTCACAGTAGCTATGTGGACAATGTGTGTTATTTCCATTTTGACTCTCTGAAATAGCTACATCCTAAAATCAGGGCTATCTTTAACAATAGCAAGAGGGCAATATTATATACAACTCAGTTAGGAGACCCTTTAGTTACTCTCCATTAATGCTTCTCCGTTTATAATACCATACCTCACAGTAGGTAGAAGAATTACACACTGCAGGTGTGTAATTTTGAAACTAGCCCTCTAAAAATTCTCTATTACTCATATAGCAATCTAATAAAAACTACCTACATAGTTACTATTCTTTTCTTCTTTGCCAAATGTTTTATAATAAATCTCTTAATTATATACATTCTTCTACTTAAGATTAAATTGGAAATACTTTATTAGCAAAAGTCTTGGGACTATCTAAACTCCCACACATAGATAAATCTGATTTGTTTGGAGAGAGAATTAAAATATGTAATTAAAGATGATACCCACATTTTCAAGTTTTTAAAAGAGGGAGATGGCTTTGTATGCTTTTGTATAGTTTAGTGTCAAGAACAGATACACATCAGTAAAAGACACCAATAATCATTAGAGCTCAAGGAAGTTATTTAGTGCAGCCTCTGGAGCCATATTCACCCTGCAGCGCATAATGGGAAAATTGAGAGCATTAATAAGAAATTTCAGTAGTGTTCGTTAGAAAAATAAGCTACTTACTGAGATCTGTTTCTTCTATTGCATGTTTGCTTTTGAGGGACAGCTTCTGTCAAAAGTGAAATCATCACCAGAACTGGGCCTGTTAAGAAGAATAGGGTTTTGTTTACTTTTTATGTCAATTAACTTCAACAAAAAGGCCACGCTGGCTGCTGTCATGCCATCTGGGTAGGCATTAAACATTAATGATGATCAGCACTGAGGTTCTATTTATCTTGAGTTGGCTTTCATAAAGTTTGTCAGAATGGTGCTGGAGGACCAGAATTGCTAAGGAGAAAGCAGCTATGGGCCAAGTTAAAGAATTTGAATGCAAAGGCTAGGTCAGTGGAGTTTTTGTAAACTACATAACTTACCAGGGTTTATCTCATCTTCTCAATACACAGATTCAACAACATGGAATACTCTGCTTTTCAAGAGGTGTATAAGCTAGTCTTAAGATAAGATGTTCTAGAGAGCATGCTAAGTTGCATGTGCTATAGATGACAGACACCTTTACAGCCCCTCCGTTCCCACCAGAGGTGACACAGGAAGCTCTGTAAAGTTCAAGTAAAGCTTGAACACAGGAACAGTACAACTGCCAGATGCTGAGGAGAATCAGGAAAGCAATGAGCTAGACTTTTCTTTTAGTCAATTAAGTGGGTTATTTTAGTTGCACAGAGTATTGATATGTGTTAACTCTTTTTAGTAGATGGCAAAGTGGGCTTGATGTTCAAAAATAATGTTCAAGTTAGGGTACATGGTCCCTTTCTCAGTGATTTTTTTAATAAAAGTAAACATTGGTTCAAAGACAAATAGCAAGTATTCCCCCCTGTGCTATTTATAGAGGGCTCAATTCATGGAAAGGCAGACCCTCCAATGCAATTCTGTGGCTATCTCTTACAGTGGTTTCAGAATCACAATAAAACAGCTAGTAAATAGGATAGAAACAACAAAAGAGTTTAGAAGTTCCCTGTGAGCAATCTGTGTCTCCAGCAAGCTTGAACCAAAGTCTCCATATCCTGACCCACTGAATTATAAGCAGTTCCTACTTGCCCATCTTGCCAAAGTGGTCCACACACACTTCGATGAGGACAGTTATATTTAGCAGGTCCTCATCCCTGCAAGAGACAGGGATGTCCTTGCAGACATCCCTGCAAGATCCTCACTATTATTATTCATGTGTTATTGGCAAAAACATAGCTTGTATCTTTCCAGAGGCAGAGTTTCAAAGACAGGGTTTTCTTTGAGACATAAGCACATTGCTTACATACATAACAAGGTTATTAACACTTGCACTCAGGGGAAAGGAAATAGCTATTGCAAATTAATGTGTGCTACTTTATAAAATAAGCTGTTTGTGTATATGAATTTAGCTCTAGGTAAGCAAAATGCACACATCATATAAAAATAAATTGCAATGATCAGACCAAATGGCTGTGCTGGACATCAAAGAAAAGACACGTTGCCATCAGGAGAACTCTTACATGCGATAGCCAAGATATCTTCTTTAATAGGAAAAAAGTTAATTTCTGAATTTCAAAAAGAATAAGATTAGCTAATTGGTCATCCTAATTTTTATGCCTTTAGAGTTTTTAGTCTATTCAAGTAGAAGAGTCCAGCGAGGCCAAAGAAGGGTTATGGTGTTCAAGTTCTGGTTGCTGGAGTTTTTAGCCCAGAGTGACATATTGAAATCAGTAAATAGTTACTTTATAATGACACAGCACAACAGCCTTGTTATGAATTTTTCTTAAACGCATATATACTGTATTTAAAATTAAAATATAGATACCAATTTACCAAAGATACATATTACTAATTCTAAGCAAAAATTAAAAAAAAAAAAAAACCCAACTCATCATAATTTAAGAATCAAAATGTAGTTTTGTCTTAAGAATTTAGCGGTTATACTGGAAATGCATTTTCAACTCCTATGTTCTAAAGTTTATGTTCAAATGGTGCCAGTGAATTTTTATATGAAGGGAAAATGCCTGCTTTTTTTTTTTTTAACAGATGTAATTTCACTTAATCCTTTGCGCTTTCCCTTAGTTGCCATTTAACACACAATCCTGGCTTTACTTATCTCTTGAAAGAAGGCATGCTACAAATAGGAAGGAATTGTAATAATGATATTTGGCCTCTACTTTGTCTTAGCTGTTAAACTCTTTTTAGTATTTTTGTTAAATATTTGCAAAGGGAAGCATTTTCTACAGAGGATAATTAATTTCAAGAAAAATATCTTGAGTTTTAAGAAATAAACATCTCCAGAAAAGGAGAGAGTCAATTTTATAAAATGTCGCAACTCTCCAACATTTGGGGTAGTGACTCCTTTTTTGTTAGGACATTTGAAACTAGCAAGCAGCCATTGTTTCTAAAGAATTCTGCCTTCATGTTGACTCATGTTTCTTTCACTTCATTTTGAAATAGCTAAAAATCATTAAAACTGTAAATATTTTGTTGCTTGGGTAAGCATCTTCTGGGAACTTTGTATCTATGGTATATAATCATAGAATTTTATATTTTCATATAAAGCTAATTTTTTTCTAGTTTCACCTCCGTCATAGTTTTTTTTTTTTTTTTCCTTTTTGTGGTGGATATGTGAATTCAACTTTCTGTGTATTGAAGTAGCAAAAACCATCTTTACATTCCAAAAGAATCCAACATGTGTTATTTCTTTGAGGCAGTGATTGTGAAAGTTGGGTTTTCTTTTTAATTCCATTGACCATTTGTGCAATAGGAATTAGACATAATTAGTCACTGAATACATTCGTCACATTGACCCATTTGGAAAAAGTGGTTTTTTTTGTTTTTTTTTTTGTTGTTGTTGTTGTTGTTTTTAATATTTGTTCAGGGGGAGGGATTTTGTAACCTGAAAATTTTCCCTTTTTCTTCTGTTTAAACTATATCAAATCATTCTATTATAGTGTTATTTAATATGTAAATTGTATTGCTATACATAAAATAAAGTATGGTTTTTGATGTATTCAGTAGTGTTGAGCATTTCTATGAAAATGTCTCTATCCAATAAAATCAGGTTACTAGTCTCCCTTAACAGATCACATTAATACCCACCAACCCTCTGGTCTAAGTTTTCATGGTAGTAAAATGAACATTGGTAGTCATCTTTACACAGGCAGCAAACCAAAAAGAATGGTCTTTGCTGGGTTGATTTATCAATGTTCTTTCTCCTTTAAAGAGCAAACAATGACATTTTTACCTGCTTATCTAAGGAATCAAACTTTATTCGGTTTATGACTCTGCTGCTAAGTTGTGAACAGAATTACTATTTTCTCTAGTGTATCAACTAGATTTGTAACAGCTCTCTTAATACTTACTATGTAGGATGAAGGATATATCCTGGTAAGACTTCTGAAAAATCTGTATGTGTAGGATCAGTACAATTGCTTCTACTTAACAAGGACTTTTGACATTTCCAAACAGGTATACAAGTCCCAAACTTGGCAGCTTTGGCCTACCATTCTGTCTTAACTTTTAGTGGCTCCACATCGGGTGCTCAACTCTTCCTACCCAAGGCCCCAGTTTTTCTTCCCATAGAGATAAGAGCTGATACTTCACTCTCGCTAAGTCATGAGGAATTTAAGAAACTGTGTGTGAAGAGTATGGGGAAGAATGACTCTAGCACAAAAGAATGAAATCTCTTAGAATATAATCCTAGTCTTCCTCAAATTATACCCATGGGGAAACTACTACCCTATATCATAGGATACACCAGAGGTCCACAAATTGATGGCTTGTAGATTGCATTCAGTCCACAGATACATTGTATTTGGCTCATAATTTTAAAATTTGTATTAGTTACCAATATTTAAAAAATGAAAACTTTTGCATTAAGATTCAGGTTTCAAGCTCCTTTAAAAAATTTGGGTGTTGTAACAGGCTCACACTCTCCCATGACAGTAACAAGATGGAAATGAACAGCAGTTTTCACACTTAGGTGGAATATATGCTCTCCAGTTCACCAAAGTCTACATTGCTCCCTATCACCTTATGTCTAGCCATCATCGGTCATTTAATTAACCTGCCTGGATCCTGTGAGCAGTTGCCTCTGAGATATCCTATAAGAATTATGACACCATCTTGCATCTCAGGCTAGTAAACCACCAACCAAGAGTGGCAGTAGAACTATCTCTAAGTCTTTCATCATGAAAATCCTAGACAACCAGCACGCAGCACACATTACTAACTACCTCTAAGTTCACCCAAGATGATTCCATTAAGCAGCAGTTACGACTATTCAAAATCATTTTAAAAAATCAATTTTCTACTCCATGGTTTTTACTGCCCAGGACATAACCCTAGACAAGGAAGCTTCATTTATGCTACTACAAATGGCAGAAATAAACCAGAATACAAAAAGCTACTGGTCCAAAACTCTATTTTTAAACAGCTAATTGTGGAACTTTGAGATTTAGAAACAAATCACTACTGACCATGCCTGGATTCAGAGACAGGATTGAAGACAATGGCTTTAAATTCCTGCCTATGTTAGTAAAATCACATAAAGGCACTAGAAGATGGGAACCAGAAGTTGGTTACTAGCAAGTTAAAATTGGCTTTTGTGATTATGAAGTTTGGCAGAGAAGGATAATTACACCAGCAGTTTATCTGAATATAACAATTATGTTGCTCAAAAGTTGAAAAGAAGAAGTTAACTTTATCTAATTTGTGGTAATTTCAAATCATTTGACTTGTAGTTACTGGCCTATAAACTATTTTCCCTTTCCCACACCCTACACTTGCAGGGTGTAAAGGCAGGCTTTGCAGCAATATCCAGTGGGCCTTGCAAAGCTTAGGAGAGCATTCTAAACCAGAGACATCTTTAGCACTATGTTAGGATCCATTCCATAAGCATTTCCTGCATGTCTACTACAGACCACATGTTAGTTATACTCTATATAGAAAGTAAAGTTGTTGGCAGAGGCATTTCAAGTTAGTTGAGACAAAGATGATAATTTAGTCTTAAAAAAATTAGTTCTTCAATTTATTCCAAAATATTTAGTTGGCACTATAGTAGAGATGGTTTTTAGGGAAAGAATAAAAAAGACTATTGTGCACCAATGTGAGCAAACAAGTAAAACCTGTAATCACAGACACTATTACATAGTATGCTGACAAAATTCTGTTTATTCTATATTAGTTACTAGAACTCAGAAAACATTTTTCCATACAGTAAAAAATATTCAAGGATGAGGACTACTGGGTCAAAAAGCCAAGGGTGCCAGTCAATTCTGCCACTTACGGTGTTATGAGGCAAGTTACTTCACCTTCCTAAGTGCCATTTTCTTCATCTAAAATACAGAAACTAATGTTTACCTCATAGACTGCTCTGAGGAGTAAATGAGATGATGCATGCAAAGATCTTGGGATAGTAGATAGTAAGTACTCAATTAATACTAGCCATTTTAAGTATCACATAACCCTGCTTTATTTAATTGCTTGGCCGACCTTTTATCAATAATGAGTCAACCTACCTAAGTTTGCCCAGTTAAATAGAAATACTGAGAAATTTCTGTCACTAATGAAGAAGTTCACAAAGTCAAATAAAGGCCGGGCATGGTGGCTCATGCCTGCAATCCCAGCACTTTGGGAGGCCGAGGTGGGCGGATCATTTGAGGTCAGGAGTTTGAGACCAGCGTGGCCAACATGGTGAAACTCTGTCTCTACTAAAAATACAAAAATTAGCTGGACGTGGTGGCACACACCTATAATCCCAGCTACTCACGAGGCTGAGGCAGGAGACACTTGACCCCGGGAGGAGGAGTTTGCAGTGAGCCAAGATCATGCCACTGCACTCCAGCCCTGGTGACAAAGCGAGACTCCGTCTCAAAACAAAACAAAACAAAGCCAAGTAAGATCCAAGAGAGGTGAATGGGGCTGAAGGTAGGTAGTGAAAGCAACACATATGTCCTACTGTCCAGAAACAAGAGTG